CTTCAGATGTTCTTTCACCAGGGTGTCTAGTTTATTTCCATTATAAAATTCAAGACTAATTCCAGACTTTTCAAGACTAATTCCAGATTTTTCAAGACTAGTTTTTTCAACAATTAGTGGGTGTTGATACCAAAATGTATTGATTCTTGATACTGATACCAATTGAATTTTTATAGCTTAACCAAATTTTCTAAATAATACTACACCAACCCCTGTCATTGTCATAAAGTAGTATTATGATAATGTGGTGTTTTCAAGTAAAGAAATAGTGCAGCAATAAAAAATTCTAACTAGAATATTTGGTTATTTTTATCATGAAATCTTCCGCATAACGTAATTTAGACATCATCATTGACTGCAGCGGTTACAGAAACGTGATCGTCGTCGTCCGCGATCACGGCAAAATCATTGTCATTTCCCGCGGCCTTGTAGACATCAATGACATCATCGTTGTCTCCCGCGGTCTCAGAAACGTCATCGTAATCGTCCGCGATCACGGCAAAATAATGAAAATTTCTTGCGGCCGTGTAGACATCATCATTGACCCCCACGGTCATGGAAACGTCATCGTCATCTTCCACGGCCACGGAAACGTCATGGTCGTCTTCCACGGCCACGGAAACGTCATCGTCGTCCTCCGCGGTCACGGAAACGTCATCGTCGTCGTCCGCGATCGCGGCAAAATCGTGAACATTTCCCGCGGCTGTTTAGACATCACCGTAATCTCCCGCGGTCACGGAAACGTCATCGTCATCTCCCGCGGTCACGGAAACGTCATCGTCGTCGTCCGCGATCGCTACTAAATCATGAACATTTCCCGCGGCCGAGCAGATATCATCGTCGTCTCCCGCGGACACGGAAACGTCATCGTCATCTCCCGCGGTCACGGAAACGTCATCGTCGTCGTCCGCGATCGCGGCAAAATAATGAAAATTTCTTGCGGCCGTGTAGACCAGGGTGTCTAGTTTATTTCCATTATAAAATTCAAGACTAATTCCAGACTTTTCAAGACTAATTCCAGATTTTTCAAGACTAGTTTTTTCAACAATTAGTGGGTGTTGATACCAAAATGTATCGATTCTTGATACTGATACCAATTTTTATAGCTTAACCAAATTTTCTAAATAATACTACACCAACCCCTGTCATTGTCATAAAGTAGTATTATGATAATGTGGTGTTTTCAAGTAAAGAAATAGTGCAGCAATAAAAAATTCTAACTAGAATATTTGGTTATTTTTATCATGAAATCTTCCGCATAACGTAATTTAGACATCATCATTGACTGCAGCGGTTACAGAAACGTGATCGTCGTCGTCCGCGATCACGGCAAAATCATTGTCATTTCCCGCGGCCTTGTAGACATCAATGACATCATCGTTGTCTCCCGCGGTCTCAGAAACGTCATCGTAATCGTCCGCGATCACGGCAAAATAATTAAAATTTCTTGCGGCCGTGTAGACATCATCATTGACCCCCACGGTCATGGAAACGTCATCGTCATCTTCCACGGCCACGGAAACGTCATGGTCGTCTTCCACGGCCACGGAAACGTCATCGTCGTCCTCCGCGGTCACGGAAACGTCATCGTCGTCGTCCGCGATCGCGGCAAAATCGTGAACATTTCCCGCGGCTGTTTAGACATCACCGTAATCTCCCGCGGTCACGGAAACGTCATCGTCATCTCCCGCGGTCACGGAAACGTCATCGTCGTCTTCCGCGATCGCTACTAAATCATGAACATTTCCCGCGGCCGAGCAGATATCATCGTCGTCTCCCGCGGACACGGAAACGTCATCGTCATCTCCCGCGGTCACGGAAACGTCATCGTCGTCGTCCGCGATCGCGGCAAAATAATGAAAATTTCTTGCGGCCGTGTAGACATCATCGACTCCCACGGTCACGGAAACGTCATCGTCATCTTCCACGGCCATGGAAACGTCATCGTCGTCTTCCACGGCCACGGAAACGTCATCGTCGTCTTCCACGGCCACGGAAACGTCATCGTCGTTTCCCGCGGTCACGGAAACGGCATCGTCATCTCCTGTGGTCACGGAAACGTCATCGTCGTCTCCCGTGGCCACGGAAACGTCATCGTTGTCTCCCGCTATCACAGAAACGTCATCGTCGTCTCCTGCGGTCACGGTAACGTTATCGTCGTCCTCAGCGGTCACGGAAAGGTCATCGTCGTCTCCCGCGATTTGGGAAACGTCATCGTCGTCGTCCACTATCGCGGCAAAATTGTGAACATTTCCCGAGGCCGTGTGGACATCATCATCATTGGCTTTCGCGGTTACGTAAACGCCAGACGACGATCGCGGCAAAATAATGAAAATTCCCGACTTTGAAATCAAATTTAAGACTAAATCCCGACTTTTCAAGACCATTTTGAAATTCAATACTAATTCCCGACTTTCCCGATTTTCCCGACTACTAGACACCCTGTTTCACTTTTAGGAAAGGGTCTTTTTGTAAATTTTCCTTGAACACACACCTCGCATTGTGGAATAAGCTCTTTTGTGTTCACTTTAATACCTTTAACCATATTTAAATTGATTATTCTTTTCAAGTCTCCAAAGTTCAAGTGTCCAAAATGTTGGTGCCAAGACAATAGACTTGATTTTTCACAGCTTATATTCATTTCTTCACTACTCTCTTGTACGTAATAAAGTCCATTTAACCTATTCGCATGGATCTTTGTCTGTCCATTCTGATCTATTATCAAAGCAGCATCTTTTTTAAACAAAACTTGATACCCATGGTCAGTAATTTTAGCTACAGACATCAGATTTGTTCGAAGTTCTGGTACATACAAAGTGTCATACAAATTAACGCTTAGATTTGTACTCCCATTTAAAATGTTCATATTAACTGTTCCAACCCCTCTTGCATCAGTTGATGAATTGTTGGCAAGAGATATAGGCCTACTTCTTCCATTTACAGGCTTGTACTTGGTAAATTTACTGTTCACATGAGTCATATGTGAAGTGCATCCACTGTCCAAACACCACTGTATATCTTTCATTGACAAGTTTCCAAAATAAGAGTCATCTTGTACTGAAGAATTAAGTCCTACTTCTTCTAGCTTAGCAATCGCTACATTTTGTTGATCTTTATTTGCTTTGGGACAAAATTTTGCTTTATGCCCGATCGCTTTACATATAAAGCATCAAAACGGAAAATCAACTGATTCCGTTCTATTTCTATAAGAGTCTTTTGAAAATCTTCCTGATTGAAATTTGAAATGTAACTTTATTCTGAAATTTTCCTAGCAGAGCTTCACTACTCTCTTTCTTACCATGTTCTTTTCTCGCTTCCCACTCTTCTACAATTTTTATTTTCAAAGTTTCAGGAGAAGGCAGTGCATCTCTAGTTTCAATAGCAATTCTAAAGTTTTCAAATTCATCTGACAGGGAATACAAAAGAATAATTGTCAAAAGATCCTCATTAATATCGATGTCCATTCCTTTTAATTTGTCCACTACATCAAAAAACATATTCATGTAATCTCTGACATCATAATCAGGGGTCAGTTTTGCCAAAATTAGCTTCTTTAACAAAAAGGCTTTCCTTGCTGGTCCACTGGAATCATAAATGCCTTTTAATTTTTCCCATATCTCTTAAGAGATTAAGTGTTACATCCTTTCACTTGCTTTAATTCGCTTGGGCTGATGGAGAGGATTATATCTGCCTTTGCCTTTGCATCAGTGATTAGCCAAGCAGTCATTCTTTCACCTTCTTCTAGAGGCCTTTTAATGGTTCCTAACACATAACCAAGTAAATCATTTTTAACTAAAACTGCTTCCATCTGCATTTTCCATGTGTCATAATTATTTCTGTTCAAAAGTTCAATGTGATTACTCATATTTCTTTCCATATTCCTCACTTAATTGAGTCTCATAATCTGTTAAAATTGAATCAACTATTCTTTAATAACACTCACACAATAATAACTTTTATTTACTTATAATCATAACAAAACTAGATATATAACATATGATTTTATAAAACAGGTAATAAGTAAATTGGATGATGTTGTAACTCCAACACATGTGAGATAATCCGTGACTAACCGTTGAACTGTATTTCATGTTTAATGATTTTTTGTGTCATGAGTTTATGACAGGTGATGAGATTATTTCGGTGCGAATTGGATAGCATTGGCCTATGGTGTGGAACCACTGGACGTCTGGTGAACACGAGGGACTGGCGAGTCGGCATGGACTCAGCGTGTCTTTGGCAGCGGTGGTAGCGTGTTGAACCTACCTTTGGTGACGACCATGGAACTCAACGACGCTTCAGCAGCTGCGGTAGCGTGTATCCTATCTGGAGTGACGACCAACTCACGACACTGGAATCAGCGACTCGTTAGCGGATGGAAGATTGATGTAGAGCAGTCAGCTAGCCTACTACGATTCTCAAACAGCTGAGGTTGTGTTATAAGCCAACCAGAGGAACTCACAACGAGTCTTGAACCGTTGTGGTGGATCTTGGTGTGTTGTAAACCCAAGGACTATCCACATCGGGGGTGGCAAACAACAACTACGAACGGACGGCCACCACGCGGATCATTGCAGCGGGCGGGGCAGTGACACGGGACTGTGTGATAAACCGGACCCCGAGGACTACATGCGAAGGGCGCAAGTAGTTGTCATCGGGGGGGCCACCACGCGGCTCACTGCGGCAGACGGGGCAGTGACACATGTCTCCGTGTGATTAACCGGACCTTACCATGATTACTACGGTAATAGCTTATTCCCTATAGGGGAAATTCGCTAAAAGAAAATCGGCCCTGGGTCGAGGTCTTATACCATGAGACCTACGGTAGTAGGTTATTCTCTATGTGGGAAATTCGCTGAGAACAAACTTTTTTTTTATCATTCACATCTTCAATATAACAAAAATGTTTAAAGGAAACAAAACAAAATGTTCCATAAACTAAAGAAAAATTATAAAATGAGTATAAGTCCTTTATAGCTAAAAGCTTTTTATTACGGTACCTTTATGAACTGGAGACGAAATCTTCTTCTTTGCTTCCTTTTTACTTTTTTTCACTTTGGATTCTTTCTTGATTTTTTTCCTGTAAAAATAAGTTATTTTTATCAATAATAGATCATTACATATAGTTTAAAAATCCATTTAACAGCCCTGTTTGTATTGGAAGGCAAAATATCCTAGGCTGTGGAAATTGTTTGTGACACTTTTTACAGCTGGGGTGGAACGACTCAACATGAAAGTTTAAAGGACATTTCAACATATGTTCTTTGCTGATTTCAGATCTCTCACACCACTAGTTCGGAGTTGTCTTTTAAACAAGATATGTTACTGGAAATATTTTTTTTCCTCGAGCAGATCGATTTTCAAGCTGAGCCAGGCTTGCTTGAAAGCCTGAGTATGCTGCACTCAGTTAGAAAATCAAGCTAAGCCAAGCTTTTACTCTTGCAATCATAGAAAGTGTGTGTGAATATTACATAATTGAAAATTGCCACCACCATTGCATGAGTTTAGACTATAATGCAATCACAGATAAGAATAAGAATAATTTATTCCATTGATCTTTTTACAAAGAAATAGGACACGTCAAATACATTACAAAATACTCATATCATACAATCTATCAAATTTCTTATAGGCCTACAATATAACATTACATCAAATACAATTAGGCATAATAACTTATTTTAATTAAAATTTAACATCAAATTTGCAGTTGATAAATTTGAAAAGCTGTAAAAAGGATTTTGAATAAGCCAATTATGAATTTTGTTAAAAAAATATTATAATCAACCAATGTTGCACTGTCAGGTAGTTTATTTAAAAACTGAATTGAGTTGATTTTAAAAGAGTCGCCCGTTTAAGCCAGTCTATGAGGTTTCATGCTGAGCTTGTCTCCACTCCTAGTGTTGAGCTTGCCTCCACTCCTAGTGTTGAGCTTGCCTCCACTCCTAGTGTTGACCTTGCCTCCACTCCTAGTGTTGAGCTTGCCTCCACTCCTAGTGTTGAGTTTCCTCCACTCCTAGTGTTGAGTTTCCTCCACTCCTAGTGTTGAGTTTCCTCCACTCCTAGTGTTGAGCTTGCCTCCACTCCTAGTGTTGAGCTTGCCTCCACTCCTAGTGTTGAGTTTCCTCCACTCCTAGTGTTGAGTTTCCTCCACTCCTAGTGTTGAGTTTCCTCCACTCCTAGTGTTGAGTTTCCTCCACTCCTAGTGTTGAGCTTGCCTCCACTCCTAGTGTTGAGCTTGCCTCCACTCCTAGTGTTGAGTTTCCTCCACTCCTAGTGTTGAGCTTGCCTCCACTCCTAGTGTTGAGATTGCCTCCACTCCTAGTGTTGACCTTGCCTCCACTCCTAGTGTTGACCTTGCCTCCACTCCTAGTGTTGACCTTGCCTCCACTCCTAGTGTTGAGCTTGTCTCCACTCCTAGTGTTGAGATTGCCTCCACTCCTAGTGTTGACCTTGCCTCCACTCCTAGTGTTGACCTTGCCTCCACTCCTAGTGTTGAGCTTGCCTCCACTCCTAGTGTTGAGTTTCCTCCACTCCTAGTGTTGAGTTTCCTCCACTCCTAGTGTTGAGCTTGCCTCCACTCCTAGTGTTGAGCTTGCCTCTACTCGTTGACCTTGCCTCCACTCCTAGTGTTGAGCTTGTCTCCACTCCTAGTGTTGAGATTGCCTCCACTCCTAGTGTTGACCTTGCCTCCACTCCTAGTGTTGACCTTGCCTCCACTCCTAGTGTTGAGCTTGCCTCCACTCCTAGTGTTGAGTTTCCTCCACTCCTAGTGTTGAGTTTCCTCCACTCCTAGTGTTGAGCTTGCCTCCACTCCTAGTGTTGAGCTTGCCTCTACTCCTAGTGTTGAGTTTCCTCCACTCCTAGTGTTGAGCTTGCCTCCACTCCTAGTATTGAGCTTGCCTCCACTCCTAGTGTTCAGCTTGCCTCCACTCCTAGTGTTGAGATTGCCTCCACTCCTAGTGTTGAGTTTCCTCCACTCCTAGTGTTGAGCTTGCCTCCACTCCTAGTGTTCAGCTTGCCTCCACTCCTAGTGTTGAGTTTCCTCCACTCCTAGTGTTGAGATTGCCTCCACTCCTAGTGTTGAGTTTCCTCCACTCCTAGTGTTGAGCTTGCCTCCACTCCTAGTGTTCAGCTTGCCTCCACTCCTAGTGTTGAGTTTCCTCCACTCCTAGTGTTGAGTTTCCTCCACTCCTAGTGTTGAGTTTCCTCCACTCCTAGTGTTGAGATTGCCTCCACTCCTAGTGTTGAGTTTCCTCCACTCCTAGTGTTGAGCTTGCCTCCACTCCTAATGTTGAGCTTGCCTCCACTCCTAGTGTTGAGCTTGCCTCCACTCCTAGTGTTGAGCTTGCCTCCACTCCTAGTGTTGAGCTTGCCTCCACTCCTAGTGTTCAGCTTGCCTCCACTCCTAGTGTTGAGATTGCCTCCACTCCTAGTGTTGAGTTTGCCTCCACTCCTAGTGTTGAGTTTCCTCCACTCCTAGTGTTGAGCTTGCCTCCACTCCTAGTGTTCAGCTTGCCTCCACTCCTAGTGTTGAGTTTGCCTCCACTCCTAGTGTTGAGTTTCCTCCACTCCTAGTGTTGAGCTTGCCTCCACTCCTAGTGTTCAGCTTTCCTCCACTCCTAGTGTTGAGTTTGCCTCCACTCCTAGTGTTGAGTTTCCTCCACTCCTAGTGTTGAGCTTGCCTCCACTCCTAGTGTTGAGCTTGCCTCCACTCCTAGTGTTCAGCTTGCCTCCACTCCTAGTGTTGAGCTTGCCTCCACTCCTAGTGTTGAGCTTGTCTCCACTCCTAGTGTTGACCTTGCCTCCACTCCTAGTGTTGAGCTTGCCTCCACTCCTAGTGTTCAGCTTGCCTCCACTCCTAGTGTTGAGTTTCCTCCACTCCTAGTGTTGAGCTTGCCTCCACTCCTAGTGTTGAGCTTGCCTCCACTCCTAGTGTTGAGTTTCCTCCACTCCTAGTTTGTTGACCTTGCCTCCACTCCTAGTGTTGAGCTTGCCTCCACTTCTAGTGTTGTACTCATGATTGTCAGCTCTGTGATTTGTTTTTTTTTTCAACAAAAATTTACAACCTCTTTTAACCTTGGATTTGACCGTTCACATAGACTACAGATCCATGCGTGGAACATATCCAGCAAAGTAAGGGGTGAGCCGGTAAAGTACAAGGGGTGAACTGTAATGATAAAAAAAGTAGTGGCAGTGACCAGGATCAGAACCCACATCATCGCTGCCTTGGGCCCAAAGTCCGCGATGCTACCGTCTAAGCCACCGACTGATTGTCAGAGCAGTGTGGTAATGGACAGTGAGAGTGTATGACAGCACACATGACTCGTCTCATATCTTGGAAACAGAAATTGTGGAAAATGTAGTTAATAGAAGTAGATGTATTGTGTGACACTCTCGTCGGCTTGTCCACGCACTAGACTAGTCCAGCAGTAAACAGTTTAAGTAAAGATCCGTTTTGCATCAGTTTTGAGTAAGACGATGTTGATGTCACCTAAAAATACACAGTTAGGATCTTTACTTAACCCTAGTGTGGTGTCATGATTTTAATCACACATTTGGTGTCTTCGGTCTGAGAGACTGTTATATATTTTTTTGGAAATATTTTGTATTTGTATGTAACTATAATTATAAAAGATAAAACTGTGTCAAATTATTACTCCTATATATGTTTACATGTTCATGGGGTTTATCGTGAAATAAACCCCCTCTGAGTGTTGGTAAAATAATTTTGAAAAACAAATACATGTATCAAAAGTTGATAAAAAAAAACTTTTTTTTATATTGTTTTTAAATTACTAAAGCCTTTTCTGATATATTATGAAAGTTTATGAACCAGTTTATGTAAACAAACATAAACCATCAGAATTACGTCTATTTTTAAAGTTTGACTGAGACTTCAAATAATGCCTATTTTACCCATAGAGTAATGGCGATTTTGATTAGCCTACACCATTGGTGTCTTCGGACTATGAGACCGTTTTTGTATTTTATAAATATTTTATGTATATTACGATATTACTGTATCTCAGAAATCCATAAAACTGATCTAATGGTACAACTTTCAAATAATAATTGCAAGAGGTTCCCAAAGAAAATTTCCATGAGTTTTTTTAATACTAGAAGTTTACTCTAAAATGATAAAATAATCATACAAATAACATGTACCGTGCTTCCCTGCAGCAAACCTGTAGAATGTGAATTTCAATTTGTTCGATTCGATTACATTTTGACTAAAATGTTTCTATAAAAAAGTCATATTTATAAACCTTTTGAGTAACATTAGATTTGACCAAGAGCTGCTTAGGTAGGCTGCTACGGGGAAGGTAAAATTGGGTATTTACTCAGGGGAGGTATAGAAGAGGCTACGATGACAGCTGAGATCTTCTTATTAGCTGAGGGAACGCCATTACCGTAACAAAAAGTTCAACAGCCATCGGCCTCGGTGGTCTATTGGTTAGCGTGCCGGGCTGATATACTGTAGGTCCCGGGTTCGAATCCCGCTGGTAGCGTTAACTTTTTGTCCAAGATTTTTTTATTATCAGCAAGTTTGGTTGGTTTGGTTTGGTTATTACAGTTTAATTTTATTATTAAGTCATTATAAAATTTTAATTGAGCAATTTCTAGTTTTATTTAATAAACAGAATTGTTTTTCCAATTACTAAACTTTTGTTTTATTATTTCTTTATCAGCAAGTTTGGTTAGTTCGGTTAGGTTATGATAGTTTAATTTTATAATTAAAAAATAGTAAAATTGAATTTGAGGCATTTATAATTTTATTTTATGAACGAACTATTTTTGCGATTAGTAAACCTTCGTTGCCAAAGTGCTCTCTACTACAGCGCTGTTCACGGAGGAATTTTGAACTAAATGCCTCATTTGTACCTCCCCTAAGTCAGACCCGTAAAATTGTAAAATGGTAAAAAAGGTAAAATTGTTCATAAAATGTTAAGTACACGATGGTGATGGACAAGACCCGAAACATGGAGATTTTTTTTATCTCGAAGCTTCGGGCGGGATTAAAATACTAACGAGATATTTTTTAGACAAGATTAATTTTTTTTTTTTAATTTCCAAAAGTTTAAATTTTAAAATAATTTGTGAAGGCGTTTACATTTAATTATTTATTCTTTACATGGAAATATTGCTTCTATTGTTTTACTAGCAACAGTGCCTGTTGTGGTTAAATACAACGGTCTCTAGTAAAATAATGGTTATGAAATCTATACACCACTTTACTCACTAATATTAATGGTACAGATTAAGCACATAAGATTAGAATCAGACACTTAACATAAGGAACACACTTTAAACACAAATGCAAATTGTTAGAACAACGTTTAATCAAAGAAAAATCAATTAGATAACAATATAACAATAAGCTGTTGAATTATTAACACATGTTTCGTATGATTAGATTGTGCATACTGGTAAACCAATTATTGCCATCTATAAAATTATTGGTTTTTCTTTTCCGAGTCGTGTGAGCTCTTTTACCCAACTGATTTTCATAATTTTGGCCTTAAACTAAAGGTATGGACGTACCACAGATTTGCCTTTAAGCATCGGCATTCATTTTGACGTATATTTTTAAAGAATTTAAATTTGATTTTTTTCACTTCAATTAAAGATGTATTCCAGTAGTTATAATTATACCCTATATGTTTTGGTCTAAAAAACCTTTAGTGAAATACCAGCTTTCATTTGAGCTATTGATTATTAAGATCGGACTACCTAAAACCATTTACTATATGTCAATGCTAAAACACACTGCTGAATCACGAATCAACAATAATTACAATCGTTTTAGTACTTATCTGCAATCAATGATACGTAACTCTATTTTTATTTAAGTTATTTTATATGTCTTGGTCTTAAAATACTCCATAGGCTTTCACTTGAGATATTGATAGTTTTAAACGGTTAAGTTTAAGATACTGTATCGCTCAATCAGAAAATATAAATTTGATTATCTTGGACATGGAATTTAGTTTTAGATATATTTACTTAATTCTAATTACGTTATTCTATTTGTTTTGACCTAAGAACCTTCAGTAAAATACCAGCTTCCATTTGATTTATTGATTGTTAAGCTCGGACGTTCCTAAAGCACACAGCTAAATCACGAAAAACACAAATTGTTCAAAAAATGTAGTTATTTATCATCGATTTATAGTCAAACGATCTTGCTTGCAACCTCAACAGTAACTGTCGACTATGATGGGTTTCACCTAGTAAATCTTTAAAAAAATCAAACTTTTATAATTATTTGCAAATCTACACAAATTAAGCTTTCCAATGACCTATTAATTAATGAAATCGGTTCAGTAGAACTGTAGATTTAATTGTATAAAGTTAAACAACAACATCTCTAATTCAGTATTTGCTCACCACTATAAATTGGGAGGTTGCTTAAAGTTTTTGCAAATAACTTTGAAACGGTGAGGAATTTGACCAAAGTAGAAGGTGATATTCTGAAAGAGAATAAAATTTCCTACAAATTACTATTATGTATTTCTTGAAAATATTCAATAAAGGCAGCCTAAAGTTGGCTACAAATATAAACTTGGAAATATAAACTTGAAAAAATGAGTTTTAAATGTATTATTGTTTATTTTTATTTTTTCACCTCAAACATCTAATAAAATCAAACTTTCATAATTATTTGCAAATTTACACAAATTAGGCTTTCCAACGACCCATTAAGTAACAAAATCGGTCCGGTAGAAGTCTAGATTTAGTTGTAGAAAGTTTAACAAAAATATATCTAATTCAGTATTTTCTTACCACTATAAATTTGGAGATCACTTAGATTATTGCCAATAACTTTTAAATGGAGGAAAAATCTACCAAAGTGGATGTGATATTCTGAAAGAGAATAAAATTTACTACAAATAACTACTATGCATTTCTTGAAAATACTTAATAAAGGCAGCCAAAAGCTGACTACAAACAGAATCTTAAAAACAGAAACTTGAAAAAAGCAGTTTTTAATGTATTTTTGCTATTTTTACTTTTTTACCGCAAATATTTAATAAAATCACAATTTTATAATTATTTGCAAATCTACATGAGTTAGGCTTTTCAATGACCCATTAGTTAACAAAATCGGTCCAGTAGAAGTCTAGATTTAGTTGTACAAAGTTTAACAAAAATATCCCAAACTCAATATTTTCTCATTACTATAAATTCGGAGGTTGCTTAGCTTTTTTGCAAATAACTTTTAAATGGTGAGGAAATCGACCAAAGTGGAAGATGATATTCTGAAAGAGAATAAAATTTCCTACAAATTGATACCATGCACTTCTTGGAAATACTCAAAAAAAGGCAGCCAAAAGTCGCACCCAAATAAAAAGTTGTTTTCAATGTATTTCTTATGGAAAACATGTTTTTTTTTTTAATTTTTCACCATAATTCATAACAAAAACAAACTTTCATAATTATTTGCAAACCTAGACAACTTAAGCTTTCTAACAACCCATTAATTAATAAAATCGGTCCAGTAGAACTCTAGATTTAGTTGTACAAAGATTTTTAAAACTGAATTATATATAGAATAGATAATTTTTTTTGACATAGCAAATGATGAGAAGTTTTGTTAGTGTAAGCAGTGCGAGACATGTTTTACTACTGTAAACATAGCAAAAATAAGTCACTCCAAAATCATTCTAAAAATAACACAAGACTTAAAAATTGTGACTTGATACTTAACTAGTTTAGTAATACTGTTGTTTTTGATATTTTTCAAAGTTGAACTATATACTAACTGATATCTCCATGTTTCCTACACCGAATAGTTATTTTTAATAAGTTAGGCCTTTAAGGCCTTAGTAATTTTTTTTATATAGCCTACTGATGTTTTTATAAATGTTTTTTAATAAAAAATTTTAAATATTTTTGTCAAGTTTTTAAAACTTGTAAATCTTTCTGAACCTAAAAAGTAGATACTAACTTTTTAAATAACTTTTCATTAAATCTCGTCTCGAAAAAAAAAATCCCGACCCGCGGGAATTAAAAAAATCTTGTCTCGTCCATCACTATTACAGGATAAAACAAATAAATTTGCCAAATTTGATTAAAATATACCCAAGAACAAGCAAGCTACAACAGTATTGGTTTTAATACAGGACTGCTAATAAATTAATTTAATAACAAATTTAATTAAATAATACCCCCCGCTGCAGCAAACCTGCCGACTTTCCGTTTGCCTGGATTGATTTTCAATTAATCTATTAAATTAACATTTATGTTTAACGAGTACTTAGGTTAGCTGCTACAGGGAAACTAATAAAGTGTGTATTTTATGAAAATATAAATAGCTTAGTATGAAATAAATAAATCCGCCAAGTTTGATCAAAATATATCCATAAACGATCCAACTACAACATATTATAATATTCTCCATAAGAATAACATGGGAATTTTAAATTAAACATTTTTTGAATTTTCACCGTAAATATACTAAATTATTTGTTTTTTTAAGCTCTTTAAAAAGGTCTGGAGAAAAATTGATAAATTTTGTGTTTTAAGGGTAAAAAATGAGAAAACCCCATTTTTACCCCATAAAACCCCGTTCCCATGGTCCGATCATGCTGGTTCGCGAACTCATTCATGTTTATCCCGCCTTACACAATCAAACCAAATTTTATCAAAATCGGACAAAAAATACTCAAGTTATTGTGCGGATGGACACATATATAAAAATTTGAACGAATGGTGTTTTTGTCTTGCGGGGACATCAAAATGAAAAAGTAAATCGGTCCCGAGCCTAGGTCTTACCATGAGATCTAAGGTAATAGCTACTTTCCTATAAGGAAATTCGCTAACAAGATGGCTTTAATAAATTGGACATGTCGATTTTTAAAGGAAATAAATTTTAAAACACACAATTTTGAAAAACTTTTAAGCTCCTTAACACCTCCTTGTTCCCATGCCTGATCTTACTTATTCGCAAACTCAAATTTATGCACCTCCACACATTTACGCCAAATTTCATAAAAATTGGAAAAAAATTACGTGAGTTATGAGTATCATGTTTACAGACAATAATTAATATTCCCTGATTTGGAAATTTCCTAAAAATGTTAGGCTAACTACATACATTAAAATTTAATAACTTACTTTCCCAGAGCACTTTCAAAAGCATCCTGTAGCAATCGCCGAGGAACTTTCTCATGCAATAATCCAGCCTGAAAAAATTATTAAAATGTATATAAAGAAGAACACGTTTTATGAAAAAATTGTCAGTTGTCTATAAGGTTAGGGTTCACCTAAACTATAAATCATAGACACTATGAGCCTCCAAATATTAATTTTTCTAAACACATGGCTCACTTGTAACTAAACAGATCACAGCAATTGATTATATACAAGCCTTGAAAATAATATTGAAGGTTGTTATGATTATTCATGATTTATTTTTGTGTAAATAAAACAGTCAAGTCTAATTGGATTTATTAATCACTCATATTAATAATATCCAAAAAAATTGGTGCCGAAACCCATATAAAATGTCTGCCAGGAAATCTTCTAGAGTCAAGAAATTACCTGACAGGTATACTCCCCCAATGAATGATTCAAATACTGAAAGGAATTTAGACCCTAAAAAAATTATGAAAGCCAAGAAGACAATAAGACATCATGTTCTCATTGTACTAGTAAATCTTCAAAAGCAAGTCATCGCAGTAGATTGCTAACTGAATTGGAAAAAATAGAAGAAATGAACAGACTGGAAAAAGAATTAGAACTAAAAGAAATGGAACGTCAAAAGAAATTAGATGAAATGGAACGACAAAGAAAATTGGATCAGAGTGAACTAGAACGCCAGAAAAGACTGTTGGAGGAGAGGGCTGAACTGAAGTCTGCATCGGTCAGTAGCAGGCAAGACCCACTTTCAGAGGCAAGATCTATTATAGGCTTAAATGATGACTTAGAAGAAGAGTACCATAACAAAGTTTTAAAAATAGTTGTTTAGCCTCCGGATTACTGTATTATACTTAAAATGGTTTAAAATACCTGCATATAGTAATCCTTTGTTGCTGATTTAGGCAACTAGTTTCGGTTCTTGTTTAGAACCATCTTCAGGCCTCAAGGTGTCAAGTGATCACTTCATTCGAAGGTCGTTAACAGAGTTCAATAAATAAAACATATACAAAACACGATACACGGAACGGACACACATTACAAAAAACACGAAAAATGTCCACGAAAAAATGTCAATGTCCCTTCGTGTTTTTCGTGTTTTTTGTAATGTGTGTCCGTTCCGTGTATCGTGTTTTGTATATGTTTTATTTATTGAACTCTGTTAACGACCTTCGAATGAAGTGATCACTTGACAACTTGAGGCCTGAAGATGGTTCTAAACAAGAACCGAAACTAGTTGCCTAAATCAGCAACAAAGGATTACTATATGCAGGTATTTTAAACCATTTTAAGTATAACAAAGTTGAAAAATGGCTAGATGACAAAGAACAAAAGCCCAATTTCGTTCAAATGTAATCGTCAGCTATTGTGTCTTCAGTAGTAGAGCAGTTAGCGGATTCTTTTAGACAAGCCATTCAATCGTATAAGTCAAATGCCATTCAATCCTTGCGCAAACACTTTCCTTCATTTGGTGGGAAACCGGAGGATTGGCCTATATTCTATTCCGCATATGAAAAGACAAAGACTTCCTTTGATGGGGAAGTCAACCTCATCAGAGTAAGAAATTCCTTTGAAGGCGAGGCTTTCAAAATCGTAAGGCCATTACTGGTTTGGGATGATTTCCACTTTACAAGTGCGGTTTGGCACACGAGAATTGATTCTGGAATCAATTTACAAATCATCTTGTTTTTATCAAGATGTAACAAACCTAAGGTTAAAAATGAATAGCGTAACCTAAACATAACATTACTGGTTATGTTAAGAATTGATGCAATACATTTCTGGGCACTTGCAGCAGTCAAAGCTGTGCTTAATGCCTTCAGTTTCACAAACGCATCCGCACGACTTATTGAACGCATCCGCACGACTTATTGAAATGATGACCTGTAGGTGAGCCATCTAATATTTTCCTTGTAGGCTCGTAGTGTATACAAGGCCATTTCTGTAATCTATAATATTTAAAACGAGACAGGGTTTTTTTATTTCACGATTCTGAATCAACCACTTGACGAATTTTCATGATTTTTGTGTTGAAAGAAAGATAATTTTGAGGGGAATGTTGCTGGAAGTCAACAGTCCCGGAAGATCAAATAATTTATACCTGTGCCGCTAGGTCAAAAACTACAATGTTTGCAGTGTCTGTAGATCAAAAGTCCCAGTAAGTCAAATAATACAGTCCGAGCTAAAAACGTGGTCTATGTTAAAGCAATTGACTTATTGGGAATTTGACCTAATGCAACAGCAGTTTTAATATAACGAAATACGGTAAAATACAAGTTCAGTTTCGCTGAGTCAACAGTGCCGGGAGATCAAAAGCAATAAAAGTGAACGTCGATTCAGTGTAAAGTAGACCTCCTGCAACGCTTACTACACCAACAAAACTCGCTTTTAGTTACTTCGTGTTTTGTCATAATTAGAACAGAGCTAAAATTATCATATTTGGTACATAGCTTATATATTAATGCTTCTTGCCAACTGTTTGGTCAAAACTGTAAATAGGTGTAGCCTTTTGTCAAAATTTGTGGCCATAAAATACCCGCAAGGACGATCTGAAAATTTCTGCTTATTATATACGTTTGTAAAAGGAGATCCATTTAATTGTAGAACTATTTTATGAGTTATAATGTAGTCTACATATAAACTGTGTAAATGTATTACGCCTCGGAAGGGTTGAAACCTGTCCAAACTATCATATATATTATTAAAACGTAAATGGGTTTTTTTCACGATTCTGAATCAACCAGACGATGGATTTTCATTAGTTTTGTGTTGAAAGAAAGACAATTTTGAGAACTAGGGAATTTCAAAGCCATAATTTAAAATTAGTGTCCCAGTTTTTTATAAATTAAGTTTTAGTTTTTAAAAAGTCTAGTAGCCGATGCTAACCTTCTCCAACAAGTCAATGCTTCTAGCTAGCTTTTAGTACAATATAATTTGCTTAACATAACACCTGTAACATTCAGAATTTGTGACACAAATTCAGCATTTGGAAGAAAATTCAAATACATACTTATGGTTGGCTTATTTATACTATGTGTAATGCTGACCATTGATACATTTAATTCTTCGGTACGAGGATGGCAGATTAATTAAATATGCATAGTAAAAAACAGTAGTAGGATGTTCAAATTATTTTTTTAAGTATTCTTTGTAATCATCGATTTGTTTTAGTCCAATATAATTTGTTTTAACTAACAGCTGGTTGAATGTGCTATGTATACTTATAAAAGGCAAAGCCCTCACTGACACACTCACTCTCACTCACTCATCATCACTAATTCTCCCACTTCCCATTTACCTAGGAGGCTGAAATTCGATACACCGATTCTTTGGGCATTACATAGGAAAACTAAGTAATTTTTATTATGATAGGGCATTCGAGCTTCGCCCCGGTGGCTCTGGAGTTTCCCATGTTAACCTTATGATTTTTCATATTTAAAAGGAACTAGGTAAACCCGTGCGAATTCGCACGAATAATAAATTAGGATATTATAGCAACGTCGTTAGAAGTTGCCTCAGTGTATCGACAGTGGTCTTGAGCTCGATCAATTTATTCAAAGTTCTTTTTGCTGTTCAGTAGGAGTATTTTGAAGAACAGAGCTCATCATGCTGAAAACTTGCGCGTATGGATTAATGTCAACCAAATGTTGAGTCAAAATGTGCATGAGTTCAGTGCTGCAAGAGCCATTAGCTTTGTTTAGCATTCTTTCTTGAACAGTGGTTTCGACGTCGTAGATATAAATTTGGGTAAATGTGGGATGCTCCCCTTCTGACGGTTGTAAGGTGCGAATTAAGTGATGAATTGTGTCGTGCACCTTATACATGAAAGGCCCTCCACCATGTTCTTCAATTTTAGCTTGGGAGTGCAGAGTTGTACGATCTAATGTTCTCATTGTAGTTTCTGCTCAAATGATTTGCTCTATTTAGTAGACTCTGGATATAAAAATAGCTCTCTCGGTATGGTGGTAGATTCACTTATCTTTTATGGCAGCAGGATGAAAATCCTTCACCTCGTCCTCTTTGTTCATCTTGTCCTCTTTGTTCATCTTTAAAATGTCGACGTTTACTGTTCCAGCTTCTCGTCTGGGCTCCTTACGTTTTGCACTACTTGCCGTATGTTGACGACTCGCCGTGTCCGACCGGCAATATTTCTTTGTCGTCGGGTCCTTGGCATGTTTAAACGAAAATAAAATGTAAAACTTTTCTTCCGTCTTGTCCGATAGGTAAAATTTCCTTGCCAGGTTTCTAATTATTTATAAAAACATGCAAACTGTTTACATTTCAAAACCAAACAAAACAGCTGGATTTAACTAATGTATTTACATCTGTTTCAGAATATAATAACATTCAAATCAACCACAATGTTATCCTTATGGAAAAAACTTTGAGGGCAGCCCACGCCTTTAAAAATATATATTTCGAAAATCTAAAGCCAGTTTGCACATCTACACACCTAGACGAACATTTTGGTATATAATATGTGGGGTTAAATCTTAAAACAAAAAAGCCTTATCGTTCACAAAGTTTCATGACGCGTATTAAATATATTTTTTTTGTCTTGAAATTTAAAGACAATGGTCTCAAATTCTACACCGAATAATGCTGATTCATAATGGTTATTACATCTATGATCGATAATGTAGCCATAAGGTCAATAAAAATTAGTATGTTAAGCGCAAGTATTTTGACAATATATTGTTTTTATTAAGGAATTGATTACCAAACCATATTGATCCGTATGTCAAAATGTATGTTTTAGTATGTGAGGAATCTGATTTTGGCATTTTCAAACTTTCGAAAATGTACCGTTTAGGCTGTAGATGGAAAAATGCGGACAAACTAAACTATTTATTAACGAAATTTTTTTGTCTTGAAATTTAAAGACAATGGTCTCAAACTCTATACCGAATAATGCTGATTCATAATGCTTATTACATTACAACTGTGATCAATGATGTACCTAATAACTCACTAAACAGAGTAGATAGTACCCGACACAGAGTAGTTTGTATAGTAGATTATGATGTCTACTATTTTGAGCGCAAAAATTTTGACAATATACCGTTTTTATTAGGAAATCGGTTGTCAAATCCTATTGATCCGTGTGTCAAAAAGTATGTTTTAGTATGTGAGGAACGGTATGGCGAATAATAGTTCAACGTGTATGATGGCAGCCCTGGCGATCATCACAGTAGCTGCCTAAGATAGCATGTTATTATCTTCTAGTTTTATAATTAATTGTTTGTCTACCCTGAGTCCTTGAGCGGTAAACACCGCCCTTAGTCCAGGAAGAAAAATAAGAATTGTTTATTTTCCAAATGAACAATTCTAGTTATAAGCCCTTCGGTATTATGATATATCATCGAAATTACTACCTAAATGAACTTCTTTCACTTGAGTAACGCTGTTTGGCTGACTGAACAAACACTTCAAATTCCAAGAAGGGTTGCTCATTTAGTAAGAGTTTGAACAGAATACCCTAGTTCCTTGAAGTGTCGAGCTAACACCACGGTATCTCGGTGTCAAGCTAAGACCACGCAATCCTCAAAACCACGTGAAACGACTCACTTGCGTTGTGTCTTGATACGGTGCTTATGATACGGTGTCTTAATTTATTGCTTATGTGTAGTGGAATTTTCTATTGTGAAACAGTATTTTTAAAACAAAATCACTACCGATCATGTCATTCCATTCTGTGTCAAGTCAGTATACCATTGCCAGTCAGTCGCCAGCGACTGCTTTGAGTTGACCTATTCTGTTGTGACAGCTATAAAAATAGATTAGGACAACTACCTCTTGTTTATTTCTACACTGTAGAAATATTTGTATTACTGTAGAATCTACCATAATACAAATTATCCATCATTTTATGTAAACACAAGTTACATTTTAACAAATATTGATTTTTTACAATTCTAAACCAAACTGATTCAAACTGGCGAGTTCAAAAGATAAGCTCGAGTCAAGGCCATACTCTACTCGAACTCGAAATCTTGAATACTCGCACATCTCTAGACGTTTTGTGTTAATACTATAAAAAAAAAATCGGATCCATTAAAACCGGATCCAGCCCAAGATCCATTTTTTTGTGGATCCGATCGGGCGTCGGTTCTAGCTCAGATCCGGCGGATCAGGTAGTCCGATATCCGGATCCGACCATCACTACTTTGCACTCATTATCTTGATTTCTTGCACACTTACAATCCTAACAATAGGTCCTAACAATAGTTTCCCTCTTTTCTATTAACCTAGTATTCATCCAGCAATTCTTTTTGGAGCCTGTTCTAACAGTAATTTGTGGAAAGCACTAATTAAAATAATAAAAAAATTTCTAATGGAACTTAGAGTACTTATATTCAACAGGAGACATGTAAATTTCCATCCAATTCTGATCTTTCAGTTTTGATTAAAACAAATTGATGTTTTCCTGGCAAATATTTCTACAAGTTTTTACTATGGATTTTTTTTCATGATCGAGGGTAATATTTATTTCAAGTACCTGACCACCATGGTCTGACAAACAAGTAATTAATCCATATACATAAATCTGTACATCAATAATATTAGTTAAACCTTTTAACCCCAGGTACCTTTTCAACAGAGCAGCCAATATGCCCAAGGGAAAATACAACCCGAATGTTGACTTTTGCTAAAAATGCTTATCACTGTCCCAATAGATAACAAGGAAACACCAAAGTTGTTGTTTATGAACACTTAATGCCTACCTACAGCTCAGTTATCATCTAATCAGGGTCAAACTCCAGTTACAAGACACTCAGTTCAAATATGAGTGATGTCACTTCCAGCTGGTTAAGTTGCAGGATTATCCTTGTCACTCTGGTGCATGAATTTTCAGGGAAAACTGAAGTGATCCAATAAAATAGTGCTGGGTTTGTTTTTTAAATAGAGTAAAATACTTTAATAATATAAAATTTATATCGTGCTTTTATATTTTAAAAATCCCATATTTTGTTTGGGTGTTACAACTACATTTCTGTGTTTATAAATAGACTATCCCAAAATCAAGCACTTTTGAGGACTCTCCTGTAAGTAAAATTTAGAATTATAATTTAGATATTATCTTGTCACCATGAATAAAAGTTAATTAAGTTAGTTAGTTAAGTTGTAATGCAAGTGAAATCTCGTTGTTTACCTTAGTGAGTCTCTCCTCCCGACGACGGCTCAACTGAGCTCTCAGATCACTCTCGTCCCAGTCTGCTGACCTATCCTGCCTCTGTTCCACACTGGGACTTGTACTCCTCTGAGGTTCAACAACTGGTGCGCTGTGACCCTCAGCTGCAAGTTGAGAATAATAAGTCAGAGGTTTTTTTCATTAAAGTTTTTTTTTAGGATCTATAATTTGGCTGGTTATTATGGATTAGACCAAGTAACTGTTAAAAAACCTTAAATATAAAAAAATAAAAGAAGAAGAAAATTTTTATGTAAATAAAACTGTTGTGACTTAATATTTTTCTTGGCAATGAAAAAATACTGTTATAGAGTGACACAAAGGAACCGGACGTTTTTAACCAGCTGTTCCATTGTTGTCGCACGTGGTAGGAAGATTGAGGTTATGTCATAACATTCAGTGAGGCTTGCAATTTTTTTTTAATGGCACAGTGGACTGTAGACTATCGTGTTTTGGCATACGATACTTTTGTCCGTGGTGAAATGGTGAATCCGTCGTCAAAACCCAGCGGGAATTTCGTTGACATTTTAATATTGAACGCCATGGAACGGTTCTAAGCAGAAATACGCTGTTAAGATGGGTTTCAGGATTTCAAACAACTGGGAATATAACAAGAAAGAAACCACCAGGCCTTGTGAGAACTTCGAGAACACCCGAAAACATCACCAGAGTAAGAGAAGCATTGATAAGGAGTCCAAGCAGGTCTGCGCGAAAACATGCTCAAGAGCTGAACATGAACCGCGAATCGGTAAGGAGAATTCTTCGGAAAGATCTATAAGTACCATCCTTATAAAATACAGATAGTGCAGGAACTTAAAGTGACTGACTATAATAAACGAGTAAACTTTATTAACGCAAATGCAAATATTGTTTAACAACGAGCCAAACAAGATATTGTTAATGAGTGATGAAGCCCACTTCCACCTTAATGGCTCGGTAAACAAACAAAACTTCCGTTACTGGTCCAGTCAGAATCCCCGTAACATTAATGAAAAACCTCTACACTCTCCCAAGGTTACAGTTTGGTGTGCGGTATCTCATTCCTGTGTTATTGGGCCGTACTTTTTTGAGGAAAATGGTGTAACAGTGATTGTGAACTCTCAATGCTATGTTCACATGTTGAACACATTTCTCCGTCAAGAACTTTGCAGACGTCAAATAAACCGAAGAAGGGTTTATTTTCAACAGGACGGTGCTACAGCCCACACTGCAGACCAATCAATGAGAGTCTTGAGGCAAATGTTTCCTAATCAGGTGATTTCTCGCTTTGGTGACATACCGTGGCCGCCAAGGTCACCTGACTTGTCCAGCTGTGATTACTTCCTTTGGGAGTATCTTAAGAAGCGTGTTTATGTTCACAAACCACGTACTCTAGAGAATTTGAAGTTGGCAATCACAGAAGAGATCAATGGCATTGAACAAGACCTCCTGACCCGAGTTTCAGATGATTTTCAGACCAGAATGAACATTTGTAGAGAAGTACATGGCCGCCATATGCGTGACGTCATTTTCAAAATATGAGATTTTGGGAACAAATGGCAAACGTTTACCTCACTATGTACAGTATTAAAACCATTTAAGCGAATTTCCCATGTAGGGAATAAGCTATTACCGTAGTACTCATGGTAAGACCTGGACCCTGGACCGATTTAATTTTTCATTTTGAGTTCCCTAGAGGCCAAAAACACCATCCGTTCTAATTCATATATATATATATACTAGCTGTTGTACCCGTGCTTTGCAACGGGAAGAGGACACAAAATAGAAACATTTTAATATTTATCTCTTGCATATAATAGTTACACATCCGCCAACGCTTTTAGAAACAAAATTAAACTTTTTTGGCCTTAATAGAAACGTTTAAAGTTATGACTTTTAAATCTGGTAAGAAGTGTATACCACCGTTTTGGTTTTTATTAATTTTAAATCTTGTGTAGGCTGATATGAGAAAAACTGACCAAATCTTCGAGTAAAACTTTGACATACATGATTTACCAGATTTACCTTCATCTCCCTTAATTACACATCTTTTAATTTATTATTGACATTTTAAATTTCAATTTTGAAGTTGCAAAAATACTAATTATTAAATTTAAATATCTTTATATTAAACTCTTCTTTATAATCATAAATCCTTTTATCTTCAGTTTTTTCACTCACAATAAATCATTAGCAAAACTAAGTCAGCTGTTATAAGCTTTAGAAATATTGCTGTGCCTTATCAATACAGTCTTTTGAAATATTAAAGAAACTATATCTATAGGTACTATAAAAAATTTCAAACAAATAATTTAGCACTAAAGACAGCAGACAAAACTAATATCGTTATCAAAGCATCAAGGACTAAAAAATGTAATAGCAAATAAATACAGTATATGTTTCATTGCATCTCTGATTCTACTATACAAAAATATCAACAAACAACTTAATATACAAACCATTTCTTTTAATCAGTTCCATCGGCCATTGCCTTTACATTTTCACACTTACCATTAAGAAAACATAGTACCCTAACAGATATTTCATTGATTTTAGAAACAAAAGAACACTGTGTACTGCTTAGTTTTATGATATTTTCCTTGGTTTAATTTAATCAGTCGTGTGGCAAAACACAAATAATAAATGTATCAAATAAAGTAAATGTGAACTAAAAGCTATGTTAAGATAAAATAAGAGTATTTTGTATTACCATTTGATAATTAAATATAGTTACACATGTACAACAGATTTTAGAAAACAAAAATCAACGACAATTTAGTTATTGATGATATTCTTTAGTTTAATTTAAGCATAGGTTTAGCAAAACACAATAACTTAATTTACCTAAATATGCATGTAAAAAACAATGTGATGTGCAAGTTATGTTAAGTTAATCTAACGCATGTGAAGCAGTTAGAATTTATTTAAAGTAGCCTCCAAATTCATACAAAACATTTATACATTGTAATTTTCATACTGTTTCCATGAAAACATATCAATAACATTATTTTCACTTAGGATTATTAACTTAAGACGCTTTAAAAAATCCAAAGCAGAGCCGGAGTTGATACAGAGAATAAATAATCCATGATAAAAGGTTAGATTAAAATAAACCTACCTCATATTTATGGAAAATATTATATTTAATTTCTTTGTATCAGCTGTCTGAAATTGATGTATGCAGTTTAGCAGTTCTTCTTGTTTATATTTAAATGTCAAAGCAAATGTAAACAAACATTGTTAGTGTTCTCATCACAGCCATGGAGACCAATCAATATTTACTTTTAAAATGTTCACCTCAGAACTTTTAAAGCCACAGGGGCAAAGCCTACAGTCAGTATCGAAACGTGAATAGCCCTATAATGGTCCTTGGTATGGTAGCTATATTTTTGTAAAATTTAAGCCCAGTTGGTTCAGTAGTTTTTGCATCTATTAGTAATACACATACAGACAGACACCATTAGATTTTTATATAATAGTATAGATATGTGTGTGTGTGTGTCCGTAAGCGCGACAACTCAAACAAAAATTGTCTGATTTTGACCGTGTAAACCTACGTTTATTCGAACGAGTTCGCGACCCAGCACAATCGGACCATGGGAACGGGGGTTTATGGGAGGTTTTTTGGGGTAAAAATGGGGTTTTCCCATTTTTGACCCTAAAAACAAAAAATTTTGCAATTTCTTTTTAAATTGTTTTGTAGAGCTTAAAAAAATATATAATTCAGTATATTGATGCGCTGTTGTATGCCTAATGGTCACGGAGAAAATTCAAAAATAGTTTAATTTAAAATTCCAATGTTATTCTTATGGAGAATGAAGAATGAAAATTGTTGTAGTTTACTTGTTTATGGATATATATTGATAAAATTTGGTAAATTTATTTATTTCATCCTATAATATTGATGTATGGACAAAAAACACTTTTTACCTTCCCCGTAGCAGCAAACCTAAGCACTCATTAAATCTAATGTTATTTAAATAGGGAATAAATTTTTATTATTTATGGATATAATTAAGTAAAAATTAAATCAGACAAGTTGAAATTCGCTTAGTCTGCAGGTTTGCTGCGGCGGGGGTATTATTACTTTCTCCCTCTATACCATAGTATATGGAGAAAGTATTGTTTTCGTCAAAATTTTCGAGTTTGAGTTTTGAGTGGATATATCCGTTTTGGGTCCCCCTGGACCCAAAAAAGTGGTTTTTGAAGTGACGTCTGTGTGTCTGTGTGTGTGTGTGTGTGTGTCTGTGTGTCTGGATGTGTACAGAGCTAGGGACTACACCTGTGGTCCGATTTCGATGAAATTTGGTATGTAGGTTCTAATCCATGGTATCTCCAGGCTTTTTTTTATTTTTTTGAAATTTTGATTTTTAATGGGGATTTTCCCATAAAAACCCTTAAAAAACCGGAAAAATCAGATTTTCTCAAAAATGGCCCAAACGATTTTGATAAAAATTTAGTATGTTGTAGCCCTTTAAATTCTGAACAAAATGATACAATTCCCATTTCTGTAATAATTACGGATCAAAAGTTATTGTAAATTAAGTTTATTTTCCTATAAAAACCCCATAAAATAACAAAAAATAGGATTTTAGAAAAAATTCCGGTTTTGATTTAACATAGTAGGCCTATGTTATGGTCCTTACAGTTTTGATAGTTTCTTTAATTTTTTAGAAATTTTGATTTTTAATGGGGATTTTCCCATAAAACCCCATATAATAACGGGAAAATAGGATTTTCCCAAAAATGGCCCGAACAATTTTGATAAAAATTTAGTATGTTATAGTCCATTATATTTTGAGCAAAATGGTATGAGTCCCATTTCTGTAAAAATTATGGTTCAAAAGTTATTGTAAATAATTATGTTATTTTCCCATAAAACCCCATAAAATAACGGAAATATCTGATTTCCCCAAAAATGGCCCGAATGATTTTGATAAAAATTTTGTATGTTATAGTCCTTTAAATTCTGAACAAAATTGTACAAATCCCATTTCTGAATATTTACTCTCACTGCTTACACATGATAAAGGTTGTTGACAAACTTATGGGAGAAAGTATGTGTCAGAATGCTGATACCGTTTATTCCTTTTGACTACTGTGTACTACTTATTTAAAAAACATCCGGTTCCTTTGTGTCACCCTGTATTTAAAAATTCCGAATGATTTGATAACATTATTAAATTGGACTGAAATTCAGTAAGAACAAATTATGTTGCAGGTGGATGTGAATCACCTGTATATAACATATATATAATATATAAATAATATATAATATATGACTCCTGTTGTTAAGCTTCTGAGGTTTGTTGTATCAAACTCACAATCACATACCAACCAACATCAAGACAATCACCTTTAATTCAATTAAAATCCAATATGTTCTTGTATGTTGTATGTTGTTTCTTTCAATTCGAATCTTTGGCTATATCTAATTTTTCCCAATTTCTTCTCTGTCTAAGTACGGTAACATCGGACATTTTTTTTAGGTTCTAGTGTGGGTAAAAAAATACCTTTACCTACGACCGTTTTTTAAAGTACCCGTTTCAGTTCAGTTCTTAGAATTGAAAACTTTCTCATAACAGCATTGTTTACTTTCATAACAGCATAGTACTCACAACAACACGGGTAACGGACCAATGAAGTTCAAGGATTGAGAGAGAAGTAGTAAAATTGTAATTATTCAAACTTCAACTAATCAGCTGTTCAGGCCAATTTAATAGTTGAGTGGTGCAATAAGTGTTTGGTACAATGTTTTGTTGCATCACTGTCAGTGGAAACGAGAGGCAAGTATGAGTAGTGATTTTTAGTAATAAAAAAACTGACGTAGGCAAAGTAGTGTACGCAACTTGCGTAAATAGTGTTAACGACACTCGTTGAAGTTTTTAAGGCACAAGCCAAACTCGTGTCGTTAACGCTACCTTAAAGTAATCGTTGCGTAAACTACTATTACCTTCAACAGTGTTTTAAAGTAGACGTTTCAGTTCAGTTCTTAGAATTGAAAAGTTTCTTATAACAGCATAGTTGTACATAACAACACGGGCCAATGACACGGACCAATGAGGTTCAAGGATTGAGATAGAAGAAGTAAAATTGTAATGATTTGAACTTCTAATAATCAGCTGTTCAGGCCAATTTAATTTAAGATTACCTGTTTCCGTCTATGATCATAAAATTTGTAGTAATGAGCTACCGGTTTCGAGGTTATAACCTCATCATCAGGCTCTTGTTACTTTTGCGAGGTCGTCGAGTTTTTCAAACACACAAAACACTGACATTTAATAGCTATTTACATTACAAGTGTAGTAAGAGCGTTTTTACATCACGCAAGTGAATGTTGTGCAACGAGCGTAAGCGAGTTGCATAATTCACCTAAGTGATGTAAACACGCTCTTGCGTAACGTGTAACGTACAAGATTTTACCTGACCCGACAATATACACGGGGTTACGTACAATATTTTTCATTATCCATTTCACTCATCTTCTAAGAGTAACGTTCTTTTACAAACAAAAGCTAGGTTAGGAAAATACTTTAAAGCATAACAATAACATTCAAGCGCACAGCTGATTTCTAGGGTTGAACGTCGTTGGCTCCATAGAGGTATAATTTTTAAGTTAAGCACTCAATGTTATTTAAATGGGTTTCATTACCTCACCGAGTGAGTTTTTTTCAACTTTACATCATTCGAGAAGTAAGGAAGTTGTATACATCACGCTTGTGATAGGGAAGTTTAACATGGCGGTAGGGATGGACGGGATTGAATTTTTAGTTCGGGACGGGACGGGACGGGATTTTTATTTCCTTCCCGATTTTCGGGACGGGACGGGACGGGATTTTTTTCTGTGAATAAAAAGAAAGTACTGTATTGCAGTTACCAAAAAAGACATACAAAATCAATTTTTACCATTTGTGGCACTGATCTATAAAAACCAAAAAATGGGTAACAATTTACAGGTACCTATAGAAACTTGTGACTCTCGGGTCACGGGGTGATCGTCTGTATGACTCACGGTCACGGCGCGATCGTCGTCATGACTCGCGGTCACGGCGCGATCGTCGTCATGACTCGCGGTCACGCCACGATCGTCGGTATGACTCGCGGTCACGGTGCGATCGTCGGTATGACTCCGCGGTCACGGGGTTATCGTCGGTATTACTCCACGGTCACGGCGCGATCGTCGTCATGACTCGCGGTCACGACGCGATCGTCGTCATGACTCGTGGTCACGACGCGATCGTCGGTATGACTCGCGGTCACGGCGCGATTGTCAGCATGACTCGCGGTCACGGCGCGATCGTCGTCATGACTCGCGATCACGGCGCGATCGTCATCGTGACTAACGGTCACGGGGTTATCGTCGGTATGACTCCACGGTCACGGCGCGATCGTCGGTATGACTTGCGGTCACGGCTCGATTGTCAGCATGACTCCGCCATCACGGCATGATCGTCAGTATGACTCCGCGGTCACGGCGCGATCGTCGGTAGGACTCCGCGGTCACGGCGCGATCGTCGGTAGGACTCCGCGGTCACGGCGCGATCGTCGGAATGACTCACGGTCACGGCGCGATCGTCGGTAGGACTCCGCGGTCACGGCGCGGTCGTCGGTAGGACTCCGCGGTCACGGCGTAATCGTCGAAATGACTTCGTCTCCTGCGTTCGCGGACCTATCGCTCGCAATAACGGCATTATCGGCACTCGCGAAGCGGAAAAATCGCCGACGATCGGACCAAATCCCGTCCCGAAAAATTCCCGAGTCAAATGTAATCCCGTCCCGTTAATCGGGAATATTTTTTTCCCGAAAAATTCCCGAAATTTCGGGACCCGTCCATCCCTACATGGCGGGTTAGGTAAATAAATAAAACACAAGACATTGACGGACGAATACGATTTAACATAAAATTCGGGAACTAGTTCCACACACGACGCGGCACGGGCAAACGTTTTGTCATGACTGGGGTTGTGGCTGACCTTGCTGCCCCCTCCCGTTATCAGAACAATGCCGATGGTATTTTTGCCTCTCATTATTGTAGATGCGAATCGCTGTGTCGTACATTATGTTCGATTTAAATGATGTTTGTTCATTTAAGATGTGTTAAGATTTTTAGATGTGAATTTTCAAGAAGTGATCCTGGACCAAATAACATCATTATGAAACCAATTTAATTGTTGAGTGGAGCAATTAGTGTTTGGTACAATGTTTCGTTGCATCACTGTCAGTGGCAATGAGAGGTTATAAAGGAAAACATAACCTCTCTTAGAAGTTATGAGTAGTGATGTTAAGTAATTAAAACACTGTTGTAGGTTAAGTAGTGTACGCACCTCGCCAAGGCTCGTACCTTAAATTTTCCGCTCGTGTCGTTAACACAACCTTATTTAACTTATTTTAAATTGTATTTCAGTTGAAGACTTACGTTTTTCTTTCGGTGAAGACTTGATGTTTACTGATAATTGTTTCTTTGATGATTTTACTTTTTTACCAGCGTTTTTATTATTAGAAACTACTTTACTTGCTCTTGGTAACAGATCTTCATCAGAATCCCACACTTCGGCTGACAAATCCAGTACATCTTGGTCCTCATTCAAAAAGTTATCAATATCATCGACTTCCTCCTGACCACTCAACAAATCGTCCTCTGTTTGAACACTGTGCTCATTTACTCTTTTATTGAGGTTTGGAGACTCTTGTTTACCTTCCAAACTTTTGTCCTCATTAACAGGACTTGATTTCTTACTAAACAATCTGATTTTTTTACTAGCCGGTTCAACCAATGTGGTTGATTCAAATTTCTTTCTCCTTGCTTCAAACAAAGGGTTATCAGTTACTTTAAGATTGCCTTCTTTAAGTTCTTCTGGTTTATCTTTGTCAGACCTGACAATATCTTTTTCTTTTTTTGTACATCGGTCAGTTTTATCTCCTCTTTCTCTGCGTCCCTCTTCAACTCTTCTTTCCCAAGGCCTATTTTCCCATGTTTTACTAGTTATTTTCTTCTTTTCCTTTGTTTCACCACTAACAGACTTGTCTGGCGATTGCTGACGTCTAGCTCTCCAACTCCTGTCGTTTACATCAACCACCTCTCTTCTAGGGCGCAGGGGTGACTTGTTCCTAAAATCACACAATATCAAATGACAATTACACTAATGACAATAATGTTTTCCTAAAGTTACCTAACAATGTACATGTTCTCTCACTGATTTGAGAAAGCAAAGTGGCCAATTCGCTCATCAGTGATCTAATTACTTTGTCTTACTCCAGATTTTCAACGTGAAGGCACGAAATAGTGAGCGCGTATCATGCAGGCAACGTCGTATGCGCGCGAAATACGTTGGCAGCACTGGCTGTAAATCAGCTGGTCAGCTGTTGTACTTTTGTATTTGTCACTTCACATTAAATGTTATATTAAAAGTTCACTTCTGTGTAAAAATAGGTTATGTTTCTTCGCCAATTTATTTGTTTTATGGTAACTGTAGGAAAAGTATTATGTGCAACTCGAGTTCAAAGTACAATTGCCTCACTCGAGAAACCATTCCTCACTCGCCTAAGTAAGTGAGTAAGGATTTCTCTCGAGTGAGTCAATTGCTCAAGCTTTTCTCACTAGTTCCACAAATAACTATTAATTTAGTTAGCTTATGATATGTATTATTTTCTGGGCATCAGAAAAACTTCCAGGTTTCTCCAGAAAACCATTAATAATATAACTTTAAAACAATTTTTTAATTATTGAGCTAATAAGAGGACTGTTTCTGATAGGTTACATGTACTGTAGGGGTACAAAAATATAAAGTCCTTTTAAAACTTCCTAAGATAGAACAAAATTTAACCATTAATGTGCATTTACTTCTATACAAATAATAAAAACTGTTTTATTTGACATATATCACCTTTTACTAAAAAAAGAAACATGGTGTACCGATGGCATTTCTTTATCAATATTAGCATAAATACTGATATGTGTTTGTATTAACCATCCACTACTTTTAAACCAGGATCAAACCCGGTTGAATAAATACGAGGGTTGTCGATAGATTAAGGTCTCTATTCAGCTCCTGTCGCAGCCAAGCAAATTCTTTACTTTATTCACTACTATTCTATAAAAGCCAGGTGGTGGGGTCAAGTACGAAAAGATTTGGAAAGGATGAGGCTTGTAGAGGAAGATGCATGGGACCGAGACTATTGGCGACAGCGTGTTGGCGAGGCCAAGTACCAGCTAGGGTACAAGTGGCCATGGCAGTAAGCAGTAAGTAAGTATTCACTACTATTCTAGCTCGTTCACATTCCTAATCCTGGTCATAATAGTAAGTTGTTTAAAGAATATTGACGCTACAGCCAAACATCAATTGCATCCCATAGTTAGGTTTCTGTAGGAAGGGGGTAATCCCTGGTGTTTACTGTACTGTTGTCAGTTGGCAGATGTGAATACAGAATAGCAGATTGACGTAGTAAATGCGCATTAGTGGCTTGGGGAGTGTGTTAAGTTCTGTACATGTTTGCACAACGGGGCCAGAGGCGGGTGTTCATAAGTCTTTATAGCGACATTGATTGAATTTGAGGAAATTTTGCTTGCAGACCGGGCTCAACGTATTCCTTGATAGGCTTATCGAGACGTCCCCTATTAGTTCCATAATCTCTTTCGTTCAGTCAGTCACACCACGATCTGCGTGCAAAATTCTCTTAACAAGCTACAGCAGTTGGCCTACACAATGGAAAACATTTTCCACATCCAATAGCTATGTCCACACTCGTGCGCTTTCAATTTCATAGTGCCTTTCAGCTTTCAATTCAACATTCAATTCAACGTGCATCAACACAAGTGATATTGTGTGCGTCTTGAATCGTGCCTTTTTGTTTAGCTGTCCACACTCATGTGTCACTATCCTACCTTTCTAAATAATTAGGTGAAGACGACGCTATTCTGATAGGAGGGATGGTGTGGCATATTTAGTGTAAAGAAAAGTTCCAAAATGTAAATAACCATGACTCACAATGTAGATGAAGAAGTACTACAAAACTAAAAACGTTCTTATTTTATTTTATTTACAGTATTAATTTTATTTTATTTAAATTAATTTAAGTTATTTCAATCTAATTAACTTATTTTATTTATTTTTATTTTGTTTCATTTTATTTATTACTCTAAATGTCCCACAAACTTACATTAGAGAGATAATCTTCTATGAATTCTGAGGTTTCTTAGTTATTCAATATTCTCCAAACTACAAGACAGACGACTTGTCAAAAATTTAAAGCAGTTGCAAGTTAAAACGCACAGCAATCCAAGGCTGGTGGATCATCTTGCACTACGCTGTGGTATGGAGCTACTGTACTTCTGACTCATTTCAGGCATGCCTTGATGCATGCGTCACTTGTGTCCATCTGCATCAAGGCATATGCTCAGAAGCATATGCTTGGCTCACACAAAAGCGCACGAGTGTGGACATAGATAACCACTGTTCTCTATTCACTTCCTTCAACTGGCAATGAACTATAAATAGTTGTTGCCGACTGAGACCACACAAATCTTATTACAGAACACGATTTATACGTGGCGGGATCGTTAATTTTCATTCACAACATATCTATTAATAGTATGACGAGACATCCCACAGTGATTTTATGTGGGAACCAGCTGGAATAGTAGTGAATGAAGTAAGGCACAAAACATTGATTTCAGATTTGAACTACCTTGCCTGTTAGAGACTTGAGTTTGATGAAGGTCTAAATTTAGGGACAGCTCTGGTTATTCTGATTTAACAGGGAAAAAACCATTTAAAATTTAGTTTTAATCTAAACTTAGAGGAGTTCATGTTTTAATAAAGCCAAACAAGGAACCTTACATATAGATACTGATTTACTATAGGACTAAATAATGAATGATATTACAAAATTATACCTACAATTATTCATACAATTCTCTGAAAATAAAATAATAACACTTGCCTTTGAATTATTCCTTTGGATTCTCGAGTAGAGGAAGGACTTAGACTGAAAGAAGGAGACCTACTTCGTTTTTCTGATTTGATGCGAGTTTCTTTCACAGGCAAGGGGGAAACTCTTCTTCTAGGAGAATGATTTCTTTTAGGTGAAGGTGATCTGTGCACTCGTCTTGGACTTCTATTCGGTGAGTATTTTCTGGGAGGTGGGGACTGTTTTCGTTTTGGACTTAGAGGGGGTGAATTTCTTCTTTGATTGTAATCTCTCTTTGGAGATGGTCGTCTTCTATGGGGTGAGTACTCTCGCTTTCTCATTGGTGAGACAGATCGTCTGGGAGACACTGATGGAGTTCTTCGCCTGGGAGATTTACGATAGTATGGTGAATGAGAGGAATGCCCCAACTTTGAACTTCTAAACCGAGGAGAAAGGGATCGTCGACGAATAGGGGATTTGTACTTGGAATCCTCTGGAGAATGTCTATATTCAGGACTCCAAGGTGAACGTGATCGCCTTTGGTAATATTTTGGGGATGGATCTCTGGCTGCCCTCTTAGGGGACAGTGATTTTCTCCTAACAGGACTTCGAGATCTGTTAGAGTATCCTCTTTTTCTTGACTTATAGTAAGGAGAAGTAGAGGTCTTTCCACTATAATAATGATCAGGAGATGTATTCAATGGTGACCTTCTATCAGGAGAAAACCTCTGAGGAGACCTAAGTCTTCCAGGAGATATATTTGTCCTGGAACAAAGAACATCATTGGGCGATCTAGATTTTCTGGTGGTCCTTTCAGTCTCTCTTTGGAGAGATTTGGGAGGGGGTGTAAGAGATATATTGGTTGAAGACGATTGAAGTGGTATAGTAAAATTATAGCCATCCACTTTCTGCAAAGATGGTAAAGTAATAAGCTCTGTATTCCCAATTGGATTATCTATTTTAGCAGGGGATTTGTTCCTTTTCGTCATTGGTTTTGTACTTTCTTTTTTAAGAATACAGTCTGTTTCTTTCAAAGTAGGTTCTATAACTGCAGTTTTAGTCTGTGTTTTCTGTTTTTCAAGTGATAACAAATTCTTTTCTTCAGATTTGCACTTAAGTTCTTTCCCCTTCTGTTTATTATTTTTAGACTTCTTTTTTTCATTTTTGCTATGCTCAAGATCAATTCCTGATTCAATTTCATGTTCCATCTGTGCCATCAATGCTTCTAAGCTATCGTCTTCATCTTCCAAGGCTAAAACATCTTCAGATTCATCTGAAGATTCCTCTAGTATTTTTTCTTCTTTCTCACTTTCATCTTCTGATTCTGATTCGGTGTCTTCAAACCGGCTGAATTTGGTGGAAACTGAAATAAGAATGTAACCATAAATTACTATTACCTATATTTTAGATTTCAAGAACACAATTATTTAATTTTAATTTCATTCTGTCTATACCAATACAAAATGGATCTAGACAGACAGAAAGAACATTGAATAATGGCATTCCCACAAATTCTCAAAATCATTAATTTTGAATTAGGAGGATGGTAGTGTCTAATTTAACGTAAATTACCAAATCTGGGTGTACTAACCTAATAAGATTAATGATTTAAATATCTTGCTAAAACTTAAAAATGAAAAAGACTATTGTTTAAACAAACTCTAACAATAAGACAACACTTGTTGTAAATAAAAAAAAAATTGCGACCGGAAAGAATATTTTAGGTTGTTCTAATAGAGTGGGTTGTGCTTGTGCATATTTTAAAAATTAAAAACCAAACAATTAGGCAGTAAAATATTTTAACAATATAATTTATTTCCTTGGGTGTAATATCCTATTCTATAATATGAGTAACGTTTAAACAAACTCCAACGATTTCCTATACATTGTAAGAGGTATCTTAGTTTTAGGCTAAAAATAATATCTATGCTAGGCTTTGTTCTATATATAGTCAATGATAATATCTAATTTCACACTTGCAGCGTCATTTAGGTCTGTGTCTTAATGAATTCAATAGTATTAATGTATTTTCATGTCTTGTAAAACCATGTATACAACTTAAATGTTTATGATTTTTAGACTGTCGTTTTTTGTCACGATTGCAGATTATAAATATGTAAATTTCATTATAAAAATATAAGTAATTTAGTAGGAGAACACCGTTCGTCATGCTCGCGTCGGTAAAGAAGATCTTTTGCATCATCGACAGTGGCACTGCCTGATATCCGCATCATGAACTAACTCACGGCGCAAAGACCTCTGGCCGTCTGCTTTTATTCTCCTTAGTCTATGGTTATGGGCTCAGTGAACCCAGTCCCAGTTATTGCCTTATTTATTGATACAATTTAAGATGATGTCTCCGCGATCGTGCAAGATGTTTACTGTTTCCTGCAACCACAGGAGACATTCATGATTTCGCCGCGATTACAGAAGACGAAGATGATGTCTCCGCGATCGCACATGATGTTCATTACTTTTGCTGTAAACGTAGACAAGTGCCATTCACAATCTCTCCGCGACCGCGGCAGATGTCCACGATTTTACTATGACTGCAAAAGACAAACAATTTGGCCGCGATACCAGATTTTGTATAAACCGATTATAATATATCTATCATATTTAAATTAATTATTTCTGAAACTGCCAGATTTTGATCCGATGCCCGAAGATCAAGATTGTTTTCTCAACCTGAAAGATATATTAAAAATGTCTGGCCCCGACCTAAGACCCCTAATAATATTATTAAAAAAAAAAATAAAAGACTTGTTAGTTAGCCTCCTACGTCTTTTTGTCGATCAGATTGTTGAAAACAAAAGGTCAATTAATCGAGTTGAAGCAAATACCACTTGTATTTCTACCCGTAAGTTTCAACCTTGCAAAGAATCAGAATATGGAGGGGCCTCACTAGTGAGAGCCGCCGGGGGCCCTTATCAATTTTAAATACGGTCCTGATCGCTTCGGCCGTTCAGGAGAAGTATTTGTAAAACAAAAGCAGAACAGATGTTCTTTTGTATGTTATTATGTTGGAATATATCATTGTAGTTGTTAATAAATCATATTAAAACAAGACAGGGTTTTTTTTAAATTCATCATTCTGAATCAACCACTTGACGGTTTTTCGTGATTTTTGTGTTGAAAGAAAGATAATTTTGAGACCTAGGGAATGTCAAAAAGCCATAATTTCAGTTTAGGGATTCAGCTTTTTAGAAATTAAAAGTCCTTGGAGCCTAGACACAACTAACTAACTCATAACTCAATTTAAAAACTACATAGAAAATTTCTAATCCCACTGTATACTAGATATTTAAATTACAATCAGTTTGGTACTTGAAAAAATAATTTGAAACAGTAATTAACTCTTCAGCGGTTGTTTGAAATTAACGAAATTATTGGTGTTATGGCGGGCAAAACCATGATGGCCGTTGGCTCCCATGGACTCCCTTGAAAAACAATTCAAAACTATAAAGTCAGTATCTAATCTCACAGCATCTTAGATATTTAAAATATAATCACTTTAGTGTTTGAAAAAATATTGTTGGATGGCAATTAACTCTTCAGCAGCTGTTTATCCAAGATGGCCGCTAGCCTCCAAGGACTCTTTAAGTTTTAATTCTTAACCCTCCATACGGGCAATGGGCAAACTCTGTAGTGGCAAGGCATTTTTGCAGTCATATTTTCAAAAATTCATACAAACTAAGAGCAAGCCTATGAAATCACATACTTAAATTGTTCGTAATGAAAAGACAAATTTAAAAATGGCAACAGAATAAATATTCAAAACAGTATGTATTGACATAAGGTAGAAAAAATATAAAAATTTGTTTTGTGAATTTTGAAAGTAAAACTTTGTCGCATGAACCAAACACTTTTAATGTAAAATCCAAGATGTACTAAGTGTTTTGAATTTATTTCCCTACATGGAAATGTGAAAAGATTTCAATTACCCTTTAAGTTCAGAAAATTATGGCCCAAAAACAAAAAATGGCATATTTCACGATTATGCGCTACAAATTAAAAAAAAACGAAATAAATGTTTGTATCAAGAAATTTAATAAAAGTACACATTTTTGTTGGTAATAACAGTGGAGATCAAATTAAGTAAGAGTTGTTTGTTTTGTTGTGAACTGATGTTCTTGAAATGATTATTTGATAGAAAATGTAGATTAAATTAAAAACACTGTCATGTGAACAAAAGAATGTGTATTATTACTGAAAACTGTTTACAAAAATTAATAATAAATATAACATGTGTTTTAACATCTGTTAAACAAAGTACAAGAGAAAAATTTATTTACAGACCAAGGGATGAAATTTAATGCTTTTAACATTAATGGAATATGATCATTACTATAAATCTTAAAGACTTTTATTAATCTATGGATTTTTTAGAAAAATATATTTTTATTCAAACATGTATATATTATTTTCAAACACATAAAAACTAAATTCAAACCAAATAAAATGAAAGTAAATTTATTTCTCTATATTTAGTTATAATGGCAAATATAAATAAATAAATATTTTATAGTGTTTTAGATAAAATGCTGCTGCGCCTTTTTCATTTGGCGATCAAATTGTTTGTTCACTATTGCAAAATGTTTCAAGAACTGGCTAATTTTAATGTCCCAGACCTCAAATTTAGTAAGTCTATAAACAAGAAACAGTTTACAAACTAAATATGTACAAATTTGCAACCAATAAATATTATTTAAATTGATAAAGTCACAGTACAGTCACACTCGCGATATTCGTTGTTGGCAAACAGTCAATAAAGTTCAACAGTCAGTGCTGCAATCTATAACAATTAAATACCAAAATGCACATGATTCCATGGGCTTTCGAATGAGATACTTTATTATATGGATAGTTATATATTATTTCAGTAAATAAAATATGTTTTACGGCTGCGACTATTATAATCACTCTGCCACTTCACGAACACATAAAAATTGATTGATTTGTTTTTGTTGTGAGATCATATGTAATTATATCAAAATGATATTTGCGCCATATATTGGAAATTTCTTCCTTATTGCAGTGGTACCACACGTTTATTTTCAGACAAAACATATCCCTTGTTATGATTTTTTTAAACATAATGTGTTTGGCAGTTTTGTGACGCGTACATGGTGCAACTGACTTTGCTCAACATTTTTGTTCACTTATTATTACAGTGACATCTTTGTGAGATAAAGTTTATCAATGTAACAAAATGCAAGTTTAAAATCTTATCTTTCAAACGGTATAAATTTATTCCATTCGATAATAGTTTTTAACCATTTATTTGGAGTTAACGAAAACCTTACAAAACGTGACTATTATAGTCGATGCCACTACAGAAAAAACCTACCCAGACTATTATTGTCACACTCCCAGTTGGAGGGTTTAAAAACAGTCTAGCAGCCGACGCTAACATTCTGGACTAGCTTTTTGTATAATACCAGTTGCTTAAACATTCAGCGTGGGTGACACAAAATCAGTATTTGGAATTTGGATAAAAATCACATGTATGGTTAATTATTTATACTATAATGCTAGATTCATTGATACATTCATTTACTCGGTAAGAGGATGACAGTTTCAGTTTATGTAAATATACATAGTAAAATACTGGATGTTCCATTTTATTTTTTATAGCAGTCTTCAAGTCTCAGGTTTGTTTTAGTGCAATATAATTTGTTTTAACGAACACATGGTTATAAAATGTATTCTATAGAACTATGAGGTCATTTTACTTACTCTATGATTTTGTCATTGGTTTAATGAATGACACTACACTACAGTGTGGTTACGTTTGGGTGCGCTGATATGGGCAAAAATATCACTTTTATTTCAACTAAATATCTTATAGTTTGAAAAAATTACTATGGGAAATTACGATGTACATAGATTAAATTAGGGTTAGTAACTATGGCGGAAATTAGAACGGATAATGGTATAGGGATAATAAACATAGACAAATAAGGCCACTAGCTTACTAAAGTGTTTACATTTACTTTCTCTCCCATACCACCATCAGTGCCTGATTAAGCGGTTAGCCACCTGTAGGCTGGAGTAGGCCAGCGCCCCCTTCTTATAACCAAAAGTTAAGGTAGGGCCTAATAGCTAAAAATCGAGGGGCCATAATAAGGTGTTTCTTAGTAAAAAAATTAAAAGTTTTTGTTTAAAAATGTATATTTCATTGAAGATATGAAAAAATTAGTGATGAGTCGGTACTTAACGTCAAATGTCGGTTCCACCGGTTCTTGGGAAAAGTACTGCAACCGAGAATAGGATCGGTACCAAGTTAATTGGTTATATATTTTTATTTAGTCATTTACAAAATTCAAATTGTCAACAATTATGATTATTTTTCACTTAGGCCCAAAGGCTATTTTAAAGGGCATATTTTTCTTGAAATATTATCAATAGTAGGCTATAGGATGACTATTTCAGTGTCAGTTGGTTAATATGTCATCACTATCGTCAGCTGATAGAGTGGTGCAAACATCTACTTTGATTGCTCCACCATCTTCAAGCAGAAGACAGATGGCAACATAATAAAGACCAGATCAAATAAATGGTTTATTTGGACTCAACAAAACTATTACACTACCTTAAAACCGTCCTTTCCTTATCTGAGGTTAATTTTTAATAACATTAATAATAGTTACAAGTTACAGCATTATTTTATTTTATTCATACAGTTCTTTATTTGACTTTGTTTTGTACAAACTATAACATTCCTGTAATTAACTAATCCACTTTCACTTATTGTTTACAGACAAAACAAGTTTAATTATTCACATCAACATGTGAATAACCGTTTTTGACCCTGTCAGCGCCCTAGGCACAACTAATAGTAGCACCCCTTTGCAATATATATACAGGCGTGTCTACCTACAGGGAAAACCTGAAATCCGAGAATTATGCTTGAGTTTTTTTTTTTACCGGAAATGATGCGTGAATTTATTTCTTTCTTTATTTATTGAGTTACATGTCAGATCATCATAGTAACATGACATATTGTCAATGGTTAAATAAAGACATAAAACTAATACATCTGTATTTACACAAAATCAACTAAATCTTCCCAAAACACAAAATGTTTATGTGACAAAAAAATTGCGCTAGAAGGAGTGGGAAGGTTTATTTATACCTAATTCCAACAGTCCTCAAAATAATCTGCCAATGAAAAAAAGATTTAGTCTTGAGCCATTCTTTTAAAGAAAATCTAAACTTAGAGGGATTTTCTAGAGTAATTAAACTTGTTGGTAAGTGATTTAAGATTTTTGGACCAATGTATTGGTGGTGATAACTCGAATATTTGTAAATTATGAGCTACAGGTTTGATAATATTCTTTTTTCTTGTATTGTGATTATGTTCAGTTTGGGTCTCCATAAAAGTGGAGAGGTTTCTATGGACCCAGCAAGCTATTTCCAAAATATAGTGATCATAAAAAGTTAGAACTTGAAAGTTTTGAAACAGTTTTTTACTAGGGGTTCTGGGGGAACTTTGCCAATAATTTGTATTAAGTCTTTTTTGAATAAGGAGAATTACCCCAGATCAAGATAACGTATGTCATTAATGATGAGAAATATGCATGATATATTATTAGCTGGGTTTCAGTCATGACCTACCTTCTACCGGCGCCGTACGTGTCCGATGTCTATTACGCTTTTTTTCGTATTTTTTGTTTTGGCCAATTTATGTTTAATGTTTCGTGTACGTGTATGTGTTATTTTTGTGAACTTTAAACCTTATGACGACCATACCATGGAATAAATCAATGTCCGTTTGACCTGAAGATGTGTTTTTACAACACGAAACGGCTGTAGTCAATTAACTACAAGCCAGGACCATTTTACGGATACAGGTAATTTAAACCTTTTATTGTAAAGATTGGTCACTGACTTAAATATTTTTTTGTAATTTTTTAAATACTCAATAAAAAACGGATTATTGTTCCACTTTGACTCCCAATGAAGTTCTCGTTTTCTAATTGACGATATTTTAATACCTATTGTTACCCATATTTTGTTTAATGGTTTATTTGACAATTTGTTAGGTTTTAGTGGTATGGCCTGATTAAAATCTAACAAAAGATTAGACAGGAAGCTTTTATAGTTTGTATTTACATCAACTAGAGGATAAAAGCAACATGGCGATAAAATAAAACAGTTTATAAAATATTCTAAATTTTCTGGACAAAAGTTTCTTTGAAATATCACTGTTGATTTAGAAGGGTCTAAAATCTTACTTCAATTCTGCTAGAGAAATTAAAAAGGCTTCGTGATTTGAAACACACAAATTTTGTATATCCACCTGAAATTTTCAATTTACTGCCATCGCGAATGAGTTTCGTGCCAGTGACGTTTCCGTGACCACTGGAGACGACAATATATCAACACACGGCCGTGAGGGATTATCAGGATTTTCCGCGATCGCAGAAGACGATGATGATATCTACAGAGCCGCAAGGGATGATCAGAATATTGCCGTGATCTTGGAAGACGATGATAATGTCAGGAACATGGACAACATATCAAACCAAACATGGAAACATGGACAAACGCAGGAAACAGCAAGAATTTTTCCCGCGATCTTGGAAGACGATGATGATCGCCACACTGCTGCGGGATATGATTAACATTTTGCCGCAATCGCGGTTTGGAAAACAATCATTACGATGTCTTCACGGCCGTGGGAGACGATTACAATATCTACAGTACCGCTGCTGATGGAATAATGATTCTACATGGCCGCTAGGGATGATCAGAATTCCGCGATTGCGCAAGACGATGATAATGTCCACATGACCGCAGGAAAATATCAGAATTTTGCCTCATTTGCGGAACACGATGATGATCTCTACAAGATGGCAGGAAATGATTACCATTTTGCCACAATCGCAGGAGGCAATAATAGCAATTATTGCTATGTACAAACGACCGCGGGGGACGATTAATGATGCCTTCACGGCCGCGAGGGGTGATCATAATTTTGCCACATTCGTGGTACACGATGATAATCTCCTCACGACCGCGGGATATGTTTATATATTGCCACGATCATGGAATGTAACAATTATGTCCAAACGACCGTGGAAAATAGTCAGAATTTTTCCTTAATCGCGGGAGACAGTTACGATGTCTACACGGCCGGGAGGGATTATCAAGAGAAGTTTACCGCGATATCATGCAAATGCATCCACCAAATTTTTAAGACTCTGTTCCAATATTGAATCTGGAAATTCCACCTTCAGGAGACACATTGGTCATATAAGATCGGTCGGTTCAAATTTAAGTGGTGAGAAATAGTGATAAGAAATAGTAGAAATAGAAATAAGTGGTAGGCTTCCTCTAGGGCCTAACGATCAAGATCAAGAACTTCAGGGAGCAAATGATCATGTGATCAACAACCATACTGAAGATGAAGGTCACTTTGACCTACCTCTAGCTGCTCTACCAAACGGTCAAGCCTCAAACCCTGCCTTAAGAAGAAGCTCTTCAAGGAAAAACAACCGGTTACAAGAATGAACATGTGATTCTAAAAATTAGGGTTGAGGTGCTGTGTTCAACCAACTGTTTCCTAATTTATTTATTTATCATATGACTTTATTTACATTAATTTTGTTTTGTTTCACTAATAAAAAGCTAACTTACAAGAATTTGGTACAGAATAAAAATATGCATTTAAAACATAAATCAACTTTCTTTTCATAGTACATAGAGTTAACAAAGGCCCATTCTTCAATTTTAAAGAAACATGAAAGACGCTCAACTACATTTTAACCTTTCTCACCTCGCTCAAAAAAGAGAAAGACGAAAACAAAATTAAGTACAAACCCCCGAAGAAAGCATACAAACAATAATAAAAAAAAGTCCTCTTTGGTTTGCTGAATGAAGGCTTGGCTGTTTGTCATGTAGCAGTGTAGTTTCATCCATCAATAAATCAATTTTACCGTTGAACTTGAAATTTGAAATAGTAGTCTCCCCTAATGCGCAGTGTTGCCATCGGTGAAAAATATATAGCCTTAAGTGAAGAATAATCATCTTAGTTGAAAATTTGGATTTTGTAAATGAGTAAATAAAAATATAACCAATTAACTTGACACCGAAGGTATCGGTACCGACATTTCACCATCGATTCTCGGTCCCGGTACTTTTCCATAGTACCGGAGGTACCGACATTTGATGTTAAGTACCGACCCAACACTAATATACAAAAAAAAATATTGTTGCCCTCTAAACAAATAAAACACCACCGAGCAATGCTTGGTACCCTGGAGCTAGTTTATAATATATACAACAATCATCAGTTACCTTCTTCCTTTACTTCATTTACAGTTTTCTCGGTTTTCTCTTGAACAGATGGCGTGTTGTCTACCTTGGATAACACTTTCAACGTACTGTGAGAGCTAGATACAGGGCCTCTGTAATGCTGATAGTTAGCCCCTCGCCCTTGGTTTTGATGTGGGTGGGGTCTAATATATGACTTCTGTCTCATGTGAGTCCCAGGATCCGCACCTTCTGGTATGATGGCTATGAGATTTGGATTGCCTATATGAGGTTTGAAAGTAACCTAAAAACATAACCACAATTGCTTGAAACACAGTCATATATTGAGTTAAAATTACGGTTGTGGCCTGAACATAATCTAACAAGTTTTTAAAAAATCCTAGGGGTGTGCGGGAAGTACATTTTTGAGTCAAGTTTTAAAAAAGCTTGCGAGCTTTGGGATTTTTTTAGTGGAATATTTTTACAGCCAAGTAAAATACATGGTTGTTTCTAAAAATAGTTGAGTAGGCTATATACTTTAAATACAAAACATATTTTAATTAAATCTTAGTTAATTATTTCTTTAATAACCGTATTTACAGACACTGCATGATTAATACAGGAAATCTGGTGAGCTCTTCAATGTATGAACCCATTCTTTTATCTTTAATTAAAATCTTATACAATAGAACCTTGCTAATCCGTCACGTACGGGACCAAGAGCATGGTCAGAACAGAAAAAGGTTAGATTATCAGAGGAATGCATTTATTAACAAAAAAACATATATAGTAACACTGTATTTTTAACATAAAATATTGCACCAAAATTGTTCAATTAATCACATTAATTCACAAAAATAATATAAATATTTACAGAATGATCTATCTGTACTGAGAGCATACTGTTTAAGTTGTAAGGTTATAAAGCACGATAAAACACTTGGCCTATCGATGCATCAAGTAACTCAGGCGTAGTAGAGTACATTGATCATTTCGCTAAACACTTGATATATAAAAGTGAATATCATAAAACAGTGTTTAGTAATATTTCAGTTGAGTAAAGTTTATTTTTAAAGTTCATATCAAGTGCTAACGCAATTGTTTAAAAGAAAACACAAAAAAACTGAATGTTTGAAATCACTATCTGTCTAATGGTTTTGCACTGGCTGAAAAAAGTCGGTAATGATCTTCTGCTTGGCAGACGACAGCCTTGCCTTTGCTGCATTATTCTTCCATTTTTGTATCCAAAAATATACATCGGAGTGGATATTGAACTCTCTTTGATATACTGTAGGGCCAAGTCAAAAGCATTTTTTTGCATCTGCATGTGAAACGTGTGTCGTGGGTTCACAACCTTTATCTTCAACGTCTTCTTGCTCTTGTTCATTTTCTGTGAGGATTATAGTTTCAATGATTTGAACAAAAGTTAGTTCTTCTGTTGTGCAGTCGTCATCTGCTGTTCTAATCCAATTGGTAACCTCACCGGTCTCGATTTCTGGTTGCAACGAACTAAATCTCTTAACACTGCTGGCGTATCTACATCTTGATCTTGACCACTTGTTTCTACGGTTGCATTTTCTTGGTTTCTGCCAATTTCTTCTGGTGCTGCTTCTGCTTAATTTTCATCTTTTTTATTAATTTTTTGCCACAACTTCCACCAAGATTTGTCAAGTGTAGATCCAGGCAGTTCGTCCCAAGCCTCAGCACCAGTGTAGATAGACCTTTTATGTTGATGGATTTCATATCCTCAAGTAAGCTACTACCTTCCTATTTTTTTTTCTAGGAGGGACCCCAATGTGTTTTTGGCGATACTGTATCTCCTCTTCAGTCACTCAATCACCCCCTGGTCCATAGGTTCGATCCAAGAGGTCACGTTTGCAGGAAGAAATACACTTTTATTTTACCCTTATTCAATTCCTCTTCACCAGGGTGAGATGTCACATTGCCAAGTAACAATACTGTACATGAAGTTTTACCCTTGAGGTGTTTGGTGACAGCGGCGACGAATTGGTCAAAAAACCATTCCTTAAATAGGACAGAGTCCATCCACGCTGATTTTTGGTTACGATAAAAAACTGGCAAGGAGGTCATGTTGATATTTTTAAACGCCCTTGGTTTTTTATACTTTCTGATAACAAACAGAGGCATTTTATGACTACCATTATCATCACTACACAGAGCAATTGTTATGCTCTCTTTGGCTAGCTTTGTTGCCTCTATAGTCTCATTTTGGGTAGCAAGAGTTCTGGGGAGCATTTTGAAATTCAACCCGGATTCATCAAAGTTGTAGACTTTGTTGGGTTTCAAATCATGTTCTTTTACCAGGTTTTCAAATTTTGATATAAATTCATTAGAGGATGTGACGTCAGCTAAAAGTTTTTCTCCAAATATTATAACTGTACAGATCGTTTTTTCCAATGGTGCAGCCAACCTTCACTAGATGTGGACTTTTTATTTTCGTTGTACCCTCATATTTTGGTAAACATAATAATAATAATATGTGTTTCCCTTTTGTGACAGGCCCAGACAACGGAGTTCCCCTTCTTCTCTCTTGCTCGAACCATACCCACAAAGCATAATTTAAAACTTCACACTTTGGCTTTTTAAAGTTTTCAAGCTTTTAATCCTTTTTCATCATGTACTGACTTAGTGTGACTTTCAAGCTGCTTTCTATTTTTCTGCCAGTCTTTAATGGTTGTAATACCTACCCCCAATTCACTAGAGATTTTTTCTTACAGATTTGCCCCTGTCTAACCTCTCTAGCTAATTTGATTTCTTGGCTAGAGATAGGGTAACATGCTTCTGTTTTTTAACAGACATGATTTAAGTACTGTACGTCCTAAAACGACATTACGTTGTTAACGAGGGATGGTAACCTAACTGATCTGAAGGCTGAGGCATCCTACTTGCGAGTGGTTTGCAAGAAACCGGCTCAAACTAAACGATGAGAAAACCTAAGCCATCACCTGCACTCTCAAGAAAGGTACTGACGATGAGGCAGTCAAACTACTTGGCTTTTGGATTGATTCAAAGATTAATTGGAGTCAGCATATTGAGAAGGTATGCGTTAGACCAGGATATAGCAGGATCAGGTCGTCATTGCTCCTATAGGTGCTATAGTTCGTCAGATATAGCAGGATTCTATACCTCATACGAAAACTCAAATACCAGATCACTCGTCCCTATCTGCTAATGGTCTACCATTCTCTCTTCCATAGCCATAAACTATGGTCTGGCGGTGTGGGGGCATAGCCCCGCCACCCAAAGTCTGCTGCTACTTCAAAAGAAGGCCGTACGAATAATAACATCTTCAAGTACCCGTGGTTTGTGACCATTGTAGGCCATCAATTTTCAAGGAGCTTGGTATCCTGACCATACATAGCCAATATACATGTATATGCTTAACATTCTAGCCCTCTTGAAAGAAAATTAATCATCCTTCATGACTAGAAGCGTGCAGCACGATTACGGGATGCCCAGAGCATGTGATCTTGACCTGCCCAGCTGCCGACTCAGTCACACTCTGAACTCCTACCCATCGCTTGCTATTCGGTTTTTTAATACACTGCCGAAAGGAGTTCGTGCTCTTGACAAAAAACTATTTCAGTCAATGCTACGCCAGGTTTTGCTCAGTCGACCGTTATACTCCTGGCAAGAAATGTTTGACAAGCCTCTAGTATTTGTAAATAATACCGCCATATCCGCCATTGTTGCTTAGTTGTTTTTTTTTATTTTTTATGTAGGCCTAAATAAGACGGAATCAATCCAACTTTGTTGGTCAAAGGTAAAGAAACCAAGTATCAAGTAAGTATAAAAACACGTGTGAACTGTAACAAACTGTACTGTATTAAAGTAAATCACTGTAACAAATGTAAACTCCTACTACTATACCAAGGGTCATCGCTCTCCTGACTGAAATACGCACTGACAATATACTGAGGCTAACACCTCGTATATATTAAAACGTGACAGGGTTTTTTTATTTCACTATTCTGAATCAACCACTTGACGGATTTTTATTATTTTTGGGCTTAAAGAAAGATAATTTTGAGAACTAGGGAATGTCGAAGCCATAATTTTAGTTTAGGGTTTCAGTTTTTTATAAATTAAGTTTTAAATTTTAAAAAGTCTAGCAGCCAACGCTAACATTCTACTTTAGCTTTTGGTATAATACCATTTGGTTAACTTAACAGCTGTAAACATTCAGTGTTTTTGACACAAATTCATCATTTGGATTAAAATAAAATGACATACAATGGGTTGACTTATACTATGTGTAATACTATAATTATTGATACGTTCATTTTTTCAGAAAAAGGATGAGAGATTATTTAAATATAGGCCTACAATGTAAAATACTAGATGTTGTAATTTATTTTTTGAGCAGTCTTTAAAATCCTTAGTTTGTTTTAGTGCAATATAATTTGTTATAACTAACAGCTGGTTGAATATAAAATATTCTATAGAACTATGAGGTTAGTTTATTTAATCTGTGATTTTGTCAATGATTATAGGAAATAAGGAAGATTCTATAACCATTGCTGTAGACAAATCGAAGCTCACGAGTCTTCAAAAGAAAGCTTATGAAAATTATTTTACTACTCGACTTTTTGAAGAAAGCTTCGGAAAATAACAATGATAACATGTTTTAGTTCACCTTAGCAGCTTTTTCTTTACAATAAATTTTGAACTGCACTATGCTTGAATTAGAAATAGACATATATTAATATAACTATATACAGTTTTAAAGGACTACTCGATTCCCGTACGTAGGACGGGCCAACAGCTCGTATTCATACATTTGAGAACAGGCTGTATTCAGCCTCTTTCATCAATAATTAAGCCTAAGAACTTTGTATATGTTCAACAAAAGGTAAAGTATCGCTTTGGTAGCGTATTCAAAATTTTGATTCTCTCTATTTTGGATTGTTTGAAATAATATAACCTGTGTTTTAGAACTATTGAGTTGCAGCCCATTTACTGTAAACCAACTGGACAAATCTATGAGTGAACGGATGAGTTCTAATTTAAGATTGGGTATATCTTTTGCTTTAACTATGGCTGTAGTGTCATATGCATATAAATGGCACATGTATCAGGTTTTCCCAGTGAAATTTCATAATACACGCTTAGTTGCCAGTTTTCCTGGGATTCCTGGTCTAAGGCCATCCTAAAATTAGATTAAGATTTGGCCAGTCCTTAAAAAAGCATGACGGAAACTGAGTAACTTGTCTCTTTTGACACGTTTGCTGCTAATGTGAAATGTGTAACGCTGCCGAGCGGTCGAAATCACCCGGTGCTGGCTGCGCACCAGGTGCTGCGTGGTCGTAACCATCCGTTCCCATGATTTAACTTTGAACAGTCAGTGCGAGCTCAGCCGTTGACCCGGAACGTTATAATCGTTGCCAGCCTGTAGCTTAGAATGCGAGCTTTATTTTGGTGTAGGTTGGTACTAAAATATCCCATAAAATCCCGCCTGGTAAATGCTTTTGTCCCGGTTTAGAGAATTTTCTCTCTTTGAGCCACATTACAAAGACGATGGCTGCGGATACAATCAGTGCTGCTACCCTTTAGTGTTTCAGTGAACTACTTCCACTCTCGAGGTAACGCAGCACGATCACCGTTGCTCTTTTAAGATTCGTCAGACTGAAATTTTTGAATGCCGATTGCGTTCGCTGATTCGGTCATTGGCAAGCGCCTGTTTGATGTATGCCGCAGTGAACGTTTCAACGCTTAGTTCCACATTACTTACAGAGAAACTCGAAGTAGGTTGCACCGCTGATTTCTTGCGCAAAGTCTTCAATGCTGCAATGCGCAATGCTTCCAGATCATCATCATCCTCTTCGTTTTTATGAACATCATTTTTCTAAAAAGGAAACAAAATTAGCTACAAAAGACATAAATGTACAAAACAGCTGTGTTATTAATACATGAATGTCGGCATGAAGTGTTTTTTCCCAATTTCCAAGACCAAAAATCATCAGCTAGTGTTGGGAGCATCAGCTGAAACATTACCATAAGGTTTTCCAGCTTTGACTTGGTTCGTTGACTACTTGTTAATCTTTTTATGGATTAGATCCTTTCAGATTCCAGGTCCCAAAACGTCGGAAAATCTTGTTTTTCACAAATCGTAATGGAAATTGTATGCAATAATTTCATCCTTCAAACACCATAAACCTACCATCACCAAAAATGAACAACAAAAAAGGGTATTAAGTTGTTTATTTAAATACAGTGAAGCTACAAACAAGTGTGCATTAACACAGGGTGTCTAGTTTATTTCCATTATAAAATTCAAGACTAATTCCAGACTTTTCAAGACTAATTCCAGATTTTTCAAGACTAGTTTTTTCAACAATTAGTGGGTGTTGATACCAAAATGTATCGATTCTTGATACTGATACCAATTTTTATAGCTTAACCAAATTTTCTAAATAATACTACACCAACCCCTGTCATTGTCATAAAGTAGTATTATGATAATGTGGTGTTTTCAAGTAAAGAAATAGTGCAGCAATAAAAAATTCTAACTAGAATATTTGGTTATTTTTATCATGAAATCTTCCGCATAACGTAATTTAGACATCATCATTGACTGCAGCGGTTACAGAAACGTGATCGTCGTCGTCCGCGATCACGGCAAAATCATTGTCATTTCCCGCGGCCTTGTAGACATCAATGACATCATCGTTGTCTCCCGCGGTCTCAGAAACGTCATCGTAATCGTCCGCGATCACGGCAAAATAATTAAAATTTCTTGCGGCCGTGTAGACATCATCATTGACCCCCACGGTCATGGAAACGTCATCGTCATCTTCCACGGCCACGGAAACGTCATGGTCGTCTTCCACGGCCACGGAAACGTCATCGTCGTCCTCCGCGGTCACGGAAACGTCATCGTCGTCGTCCGCGATCGCGGCAAAATCGTGAACATTTCCCGCGGCTGTTTAGACATCACCGTAATCTCCCGCGGTCACGGAAACGTCATCGTCATCTCCCGCGGTCACGGAAACGTCATCGTCGTCTTCCGCGATCGCTACTAAATCATGAACATTTCCCGCGGCCGAGCAGATATCATCGTCGTCTCCCGCGGACACGGAAACGTCATCGTCATCTCCCGCGGTCACGGAAACGTCATCGTCGTCGTCCGCGATCGCGGCAAAATAATGAAAATTTCTTGCGGCCGTGTAGACATCATCGACTCCCACGGTCACGGAAACGTCATCGTCATCTTCCACGGCCATGGAAACGTCATCGTCGTCTTCCACGGCCACGGAAACGTCATCGTCGTTTCCCGCGGTCACGGAAACGGCATCGTCATCTCCTGTGGTCACGGAAACGTCATCGTCGTCTCCCGTGGCCACGGAAACGTCATCGTTGTCTCCCGCTATCACAGAAACGTCATCGTCGTCTCCTGCGGTCACGGTAACGTTATCGTCGTCCTCAGCGGTCACGGAAAGGTCATCGTCGTCTCCCGCGATTTGGGAAACGTCATCGTCGTCGTCCACTATCGCGGCAAAATTGTGAACATTTCCCGAGGCCGTGTGGACATCATCATCATTGGCTTTCGCGGTTACGTAAACGCCAGACGACGATCGCGGCAAAATAATGAAAATTCCCGACTTTGAAATCAAATTTAAGACTAAATCCCGACTTTTCAAGACCATTTTGAAATTCAATACTAATTCCCGACTTTCCCGATTTTCCCGACTACTAGACACCCTGATTAACAACCACTATACCAAGTCTTTTAGAAGTTGTAAGTTTGTTATCTATATCTATAATACTAATATATACCCCCACCACAGCAAACCTGCAGACTAAGAGAATATTTTACCAAGTCCAGTTACCGGTACACTTTATGTGATTAGCCAAAAACTAGCAGCAAAACACACAAATAAGTTGTGGTATTATCACTTTTTAAAGGTTTACAATGTATTTTTCAACGATTAATGACCATAACCTTTAATTCTATTAGGTAATGTACCAATAACACTCGTAAACAAACATTTACTAGAATGTAAACAGTCGAAACAACAACACACGTACCAGCTGTGTAAAGCCGTCTACTATTGTGTTTATGGTTTTTGAATGGTTGACCACATTAGCTCCATGTACCGGTACAGTAAAAGAGCAAAAAAAGTTTAAATTAAAATAAAGGGTGATCCAGTTAGAGGTTACAATTTTAAGTTGGTAGCACTGGTTCCGTATGCAAGATAAACAGCTGATGTTTTGTTATTGGGCATTGTTGTGTATTGACATTTGTTGTTATGGAGTGTTATTCGAATGAAGAACGTGTTTTAATTGTAAAAACCATTTTTAAAAATGGGGAAAACTTTACTAACACGATTCGAGCACTGCGAAATAATTTTGGTAACCATAACCGTCCATCACGTGTGGCGATAAGAAAACCGATTCATAAATTTAATGTGACGGGTTCAGTGTTAGATGTTAAAAGAACAGTACACCCTCGGAGTGGCCGATCAGTGGAAAATATCGCTGCAACAAGTGCCAGTGTTCGAGAAAATCTGTCAACCTCAATTCGTCATCGTTCCCAGCAATTAGGCCTTTCCTACAGTACAACTCGGCGCATTTTGACTAAAGATCTACATTTGCATGAGTACAAGATCAAATTGACACAAGAATTGAAACAGGGAGATCACCAACAGAGGCTTTAATTTGTTAACTGGGTGTTGGAGAATAATCAACGTGATGAAAATTTTGTGAACAAAATCATCTTTTCTGATGAAGCTCATTTTTATATCAATGGCTATGTAAATAAACAAAACTGCCGCATTTGGGGAACTGAAAATCCTCATGCTATTCACCCGAAAGAAATGCATCCAAAAAAGGTAACTGTTTGGTGTGGATTGTGGGTTGGCGGCGTGATTGGCCCTTACTTTTTTGAAAATGACCAAGGAGATGCAGTTACAGTCAATGGAGAACATTATCGGGAGATGATAAGCGATTATTTTTGGCAGCAGTTGGAAGAATTGGTTGTCAATAACGAGTTGAACGACTTGTGGTTCCAACAAGATGGGGCCACTTGTCATACAGCACGAGAAACAGTGCAGTTGTTGCACACAAAGGCCGTTTAATCTCTCGTTTCGGTGATCAGCATTGGACAGCAAAATCATGTCACCAACATCATGACACCAATGGACTATTTCCCTTGGGGATATTTGAAGCAGAAGGTTTTCGCAAACAAGCCCAACTCGATTCGGAAGCTGAAGGACGAGATTCGCAGAGTAATCCATCAAATTCCACAACAAATGATCGAGAAAGGGATGGAAAATTTCATCAAAAGGGCTGAGGTCTGCAGGGATTCACGTGGCGGCCATTTGACAGATATTATTTTCCATGTGTAATGTCAATCTTTAATAAATGCCTATAAATAAAAAAGAACCTTGTAAGTAAACTACAATACGTATTATTTAATTTTTAAATTGTAACCTCTAACTGGATCACCCTTTAGTTGTTGCCAACCTCTTTCTTTCGTATTTGGTTCGATTTGCAGCCAGCTTAATTGAAATGTGATACTGTATGAAGTGATTTTCTAAGCGTCTCGCTCCGAGACCCCGGCATTTCTCAGGCAATCTCCACCAACTCGCTACAAGAAGCTCGGCACTCAAGCTACAAATCGGAGCGAGACGCGATGGCACTCAAAGGGTTAAACTTTGATTTATAACACTTCACAATTTTCAAACACGTTTATCAGGGTGAAATAGGTTTTTGCCAAAAAAGTGCAAGAGGATAAGAGTGTTTGAAATGGCCTAAGAAAAATACCATTGAAACTGAGGTAATACTGAACTTATACTACTCATGTTATATTTTATTTTAAGCACTTTTTACCTTTGGCACTTTTGGGCTGAAACACCTATTTCACCCTGAAAATCGTGTTTGAAAATCAAGAAAATTCTAGAAATCTGCGGTTTTAGGAGCATGAAAAACTTCTTGGGTACAGTTTCTTAACTGGGCTATGCTAAGTAAGGCTTGTCACACACTGCGTCCGGTCAGGTAAAATCATATCAGGTAAATTCCGAAACCATTCGAAAACCATTAATTCAAATAGAAGTCCCCACACTGCATTCGGTCCGGTGCGTCAGGTACGGTCCAGTAAAATTATTTCGGATTAGAAGCGATAGGCTTCCGGCAAGCTTCCGGTGCCGGAGAGCTCGGCGCAGACGACTTCTAATCACCATGTGACAGTGACAGTAGCAGCAGAAGTGGTTTTGATATAAAGTTTAAATTTTCTTCTTCAAATATATTATAAATAAAATAAAGTTAGTATCCTTTCTTACACTAAATCATCCTCACTTAAACTCATCTGGAAATACTAAAAAAAACTTTTTGTTGTCCTCAATCAAACGTGCGAACAAGGTATGAAATTCTCCCTCATTTGTTCTACTCGCATTTATACTGTGCAACCACAACCTCTTCTGTCGCCGACGCTCTTCCTCTTCCGAAGCAAGAGCTGCTGCAACTACGAAGATCTCTTCTTTACTGTCACTGTCACTCATTGCTTTTGGGAAATTTTGTTAAAACTAACTAATTTGTTGTTGGTTAAACACTTTTCTACTCACAGTACCGCTGTCCTCACATAGACTGGTCGCCGGAACTATAATGCCAGATGTGGAAATTTACCGGATCAGAATTAACCGGACCGGACGCAGTGTGTGACGAGCCTAATATCGATTGAAATTATCAAATTTAAAAAAATATCGTTTCATAATTGATATTTTTACTATATCAATTATAAAATTAAACTGTCATAAATAACTAAATATTGGCACATTTGACCAGTAAATGTGTCAATAACTTACCACTAACCTAACCTACCATAACCTTGGTTTACCCAAAATCGGT